TGTTGAAAGAGAAAGAGAGGGAGGGGGGGGGGGGTTATACGGACTTTATATAAATCTTTCTCTCTTTTTCGACATGTAATTATTCCCTGACAGCTGATTACAAACACGACTATTATTAATGTAGATAAGCTGGCATTTGATTATTTCGATAAGCATTATTTGTGAGATACATATATTGTTTCATCAACATTATATTGATTTCTTACTAAGAACTCAACGTGGCGACGGAATAGCTTTCACAGACGTCTCCTCGCCTCCGGTCGTTGCGTTTGGACGCAATGGCATCATCGCCCTTCTTAAATACACTTTCTTACTGAAATCAGAATTAGTATAATATATTAAACGACTGTCTCTCGTGCGATGCCTTCCCAGTGAAGCTCGAAATAAAAATTCGTACGTAAGTTCCATCTTCTGTCCCAGCAAGAGTGTTCTCTGCGCCTCCACGAGTGTCAAATGATAAGTTGGCAAATGCGTATAAATCGGTATCTGCGAATACGTAAAATCGCTGTAAATTCAACTCGAGACTTTTATACACAATAAACGTATCATGTGCACTCTCCCGCGTCTCCCTTACATGCGGTAAAGTGTTGTCCAATTTCAGGCATTCCCGATACGTTACGCTAGGAGCCCGAGATTTGTAGTAGGCGTCCAGGATTGAGGGATCCAACGCCTCGCCGTGCAGCAGTTGTCGCTCCTCTTCCGGAATTTCCCTCAAAACCTCCGCGTCCTCCGCCTCGACCTCGACTTGTACTTGCCTCATGCCGCCGCAAAGCACCTTCGTAAGAGCACGAAGTAGCGCATAGCGCGTCTCCCCGTGAATTCACCGATCTTACCTTCATCGTAGTGGAACTGGCGATTCTTCTGATGTCCGCCGGCAACCTGTAGTCCTCGAAGTACCTGCCCACGGGCACCGTGGGTAGGATCGGGCTCCAATCTCGGAACGTGCCGAGCGTCGATATGTAACGGCCATTGTAGCTCCACAGACGCACCGTGCAATCCGCGCTGCCGCTGTTATTCGTATTTTCGCGTCAGGATCACGCGTTCGCACACGAGTGTCTCTGGCTGCGTACCTGACTATTATCCGCGCGCTGGAAATCATCCGCAGGGAAGTGACACCCCGCGTGTGAGCCCGTACCGACGACAACAGAAGCGGAAACGCCTGGCCCCGTGTCGCTCTCTTAGCTCTCCCGTCTATCTTGTCCTTCCACAGGAACGGGAATTGCAGCCTCAGCTGCAGCATGCACACCTTCGGCGGATCCGGTCGCATGTAATTCGAGAGCAACCAAACTTTGATGTACCCGACGCTGTGGCCTGCACGAAGAGGAAGATTCCAAGGGTGAAGTCGCAGATATCTGGAGGAGGCAACGTGTACAGGGTGAGGCGGTAACTATCACCGCCTTGAATATCTTCGAAATATTATTGTTATAAGTAAAAAATGTTGCGTATAACGTTGTATAGATCAATCTCGTAATCGATAATTTAGGCTATTTTATATACATTTTTATGATTTTTTCTCGTAAATAAGTAAATAAATGAATAAAAACATGATTGAAAGTAGGAGATAAATTTAACAGAAATTTTCTTGATATACAATGGTTGATTTTAATCAACGCATTTGAATTTCTACGAAATCATGCAAGATATCGGAATCATGTTTTTACAAGATTATATAGTATCGATGGGGACATATTTGATTCTATACATATCAATGGCCATTCTTCGAACATCTTCTATAAGAATCATCCTCTATATTTCATCTTCACATCTAGTTAATAAAATATTTGTATTTCCAAGGATATTCAAGGTGGCAATAATTATTGCTTCACCTTGTACAGTTACAAGTTGTGAAAGACAACATTCGGCCAAGGAAGAGCCGGTCCCCGAGAAGTACGAAACCTGTAACGAGGAAATGATTTTCAGGGTCGGTGGCCAACGACGTGGCGCAATCGCCCACCGTGTGGATGACCGAGAAGGCAGCCAAGAAGCCCGCAGCTGGATGATGCGTCCAGACTTGCACCAGCCCGGAATCAAGCGCGACCAAGAGCGTGCCGACGTCCGGTCCCACTTCCCGTGCGACCAAGAAGATCATCGCGCGCACTGCGATCTCGCGAACGATGTTCAATGCTGATTCTTGGTGAGCGCACGGCGTCAGTTCTCTGTTGCACAGAGTCGATTCAGTTCGCTGCTTTGAGAAACGTCTCTTTCGCAAGCGGCTATAATTTACTTCATTCGCCAATTTGCCGCAGATCCGTCGAGCGAGCTCGACTTTCTCAACTCCTTCTGCGCATTTGTCCCCGTTACCTCAACGCACCTGTCGAATCGACTGATCTTCGACTATTAACCCGGTGTTACGTTCGGGCTTGTCGCGCCAATTATTGCTCGTGACAATACAGAACCGACGTTACCTCCTAACAACGTCGATCACGTTGTACTTTTTAAAAAGTTGACCTGTTTCAAGCGTCCACAGAATCAATTCACCGTTGTACGTTCCGGTGGCTAATATATGGGGAAGTCGCACAGCCGAGCAGAGAATGTCGTCGGAGTGACTGGTCGCCCATTTCTTGCGCACGTCGAATTCCGTAGCTGCCACTTCGACAACTTGCTTGTTCCAGCCGCTGCAGAAAATCCGATTCTCAAGCCACACGACGCTCGTGATCTCGCTGCACGAAGGAAATGAGAATTAGCTGAACTCGTAGAGACTCTTGGGTCAACGAATTTGGGCAGTCAACATGGCCAACGAAATCAAAGGAAAAAACCCAGGAGAATAACGTTAGAACGAGACAGAGAGAGGAAGAGAAAGAGAGAGAAATAGTAATAAATAAGTAATATAAGAGAGAAGGATCCCGCAGACAGCACACAATATTTATAAATATAAAAAAAAATAGATATTAAATATTCCGCAAATATGTCCAAATGTCCGGGAAAGTCAGGTGTGAGAAAGATTATGATAAATATTCAAGAATATTTATAATAAATATTTCTAATAAATAATTAAAGCATGGTTTTACTTAATTGAAATCACGTTTTCATTATTTATGAAAAATATTCTTCATAAGTATTTTCATATATTCATCATGATGTTTTTCATATCTGATTTTCCCGAACATTTGAATATTTACAGAATACTTAACATCTACATTTTTTTAACATTTTACAAATATTGTGTGTTGTCTGGGAACATATAACACCGCCTAAAACATTAAATGGTTTGGTTATTTCGCTGTATGTACCATTGGTAGTCTATCATGGTGCGACGTATGCACGTGGCGGTGTTGAAGTTCCACATCTTCAGGGATCCGTCTCTAGCACCGGTGAGCAAGAACTGTTCGGTATCGTCGAAGCACGCCGCCGTGACCTCGACGTCGACGTGCTGCCCGTATCGTATAACGCCGTGAGCGTTCGTCATCATTCGCAAGTGATGTCCCAACCAAGGATCCCAGACGATGATGCGCGAATCTAATCCAGTAGAGACAATCTACTTGCAACGTAGTAGTATTAATGTCTCGTCAAAACATTACGCATTGTTGTGCGTTATATCATGAAGAATTGTCGAGCAGTCACCACACTGTAAAGCTGATTGTAGAGAACGCAGCTGACGCCTTTGTTGTGCGTGCGGCCGTCCGACGCCTCCCAGTTAATTACCGGTTCACAAACGAGAATGGCGATCATTACACTGGCGATGATCATCGTACGGGTCAGTGTGTTGAAGATTAAAGTCATCGGAGCGTGCTCGCTCAGTTCACTTGGTAATTTATTGTATGTCTGTCCAAGAAATACTCGAATTATCATAGTAATTTTATGACAATCGTATTATTATATAGGAGAAATGCGTTTGTGGAACAAACTTCGGCTCGATCTTTTTTGTTTGAACTTTTTCACTCGAAGCAAAGAATCGCCCTCTTGAGTACAGCATATGTATAAGCAAGAATATCATAATCTTAGAAAGTGTTTAATCTTGATTTGATTAATGATTGCACTCAATTCAAGACTAAAAATCTTTTAAGAATATTATAACATTCTTGCTCTATACATCATATTATTGAAGATTCTTTTTTCCCGTGTCTTCGTCGACTTTTCTCTCGTATTTTCATCTCACGTGAAAAGATGCGATTGTATCTCGCGCAAAATAAGAATGCGATATCCCTACAACATCAAATCCCTGTCTGTCTGATGCCATTCGTCGTGAAATCACTCGTCGCACAACCCCACGCGAGATACTTCGGCATTTTCATCATGATGGAAGTTACCCGATAATCGAGCGAGCTCACTTTCGTAATTCTCGTTCTTAGATACACTATCGACCCCCTGTTTTCTCAAACCTTGATGCAGTTGTTGCTCGGAAGTTCCCACACCTTGATGCACCTGTCCTTCGACAAAGAGTAAAGTCGCTTGCCGGCGTTCACTATGACCAAGGCGCAGATGGTGGAACGGTGTCCCAGGAGGGCGGCTTTCGCCTTCTTGGGGACGAACGGGTTCCAAATGCGCACTACGCAGTCCGGTCCGCCCGTCACCAACACCTGACTCTCTGTGGAGAACGAGTCAACATTGTTCACACGGTCCCTCCATTCGCCGAGAACGTGGTTTTCAACGCGCAGAGACCTTCGCAGAACGCGAAGCAGGACATCCCTGTGGGCACCTTGAAGCGATACCGCCTCCACACGTTCGTCAGGTCGCAAATGCACAGCGAACATTCCTCGCACTGGCTGCACGAGATGAACGCCCGCAGACTTTCGTGGTAAGCCACCTGGCTCGTCCAGTTCGTGTGCATGTTCCTGAATTCCGTCACGCGCAGCCCCGACAGCTCACCCTGTTCGCAATGCGCGCTCTCTTAGAAAAGCTGAGTTCTCGCGAAATGTCACTGTTAGCTGCTGTTTACTAATTACGAGCCTTACCGGCGAGCTTTAACTGACTTATTAGTTCATGAGAGCGTTTTATACCTTGAGTCTTTATCTTAAGTAATGCACGATGACCGTGTCTGCAGTCTCAAACTAAGAAACCGTTCTGTCGGTGATTGATGACAAACCGCTGTGTAGTAAAAAAAGTAAAAAAAAAATTATAACTCGGACAAAGATTTAGGGCACAGAGCATTGTCTGAAATTGCAAGTCAGCGTGTCCTTCTGGCAAGAGGACGATCCTTGTATACCCTGATCACTTCGTCGTAACGGAGAATCGTCGTGTCGCGCTCTGTGTACTGCTTGAAGGGACCCCTGTCCACGGGACTGAAGGCCATGACCACGACGGAGCCTCTGGTATCGCCCAGGAGGATGTAGGAGATTCCGTTTATGTTCGCGCTGAAGCAGTAGTACATACAGACGACCGCGTTCTGCAAACTGGATATCTGGAGATTTCGACCGGCGGATTCAGTCGAGCCAGTTGAAGTTAATTTTAACGGATTAATCGACAACGTCGCGAGATCCAGGTCACCGACCAATATGCGAAGGTCGAACTTCTTCGCCGCAACGTCGTAGAACCTCAGATCGCACTCGGTCGAGCTCGTGCACACCACCTGGACGTCCGGCATCACGATCATGTCGGTGATAACGGTGGCCTGCACCTTCAGGTACGCTGCGGGAAAGGTGTCGTGAACAGGAAGTATTGTGACGCGGGAGAGAAACGGTACGGCGATACTGACGATTCTTGGATTGCACTGTGCGCTCGTACTCGAGATCCAACGACCAGTAATTGATCATTCCTTCTGTGCTAGCTGTCAGGTAACAGCCTCTCTGGAAACTCGTGCTTCTGTCCTGAAAGATCAGCAAGCAAGATGATACCATGAAAAGATATTGATTGTACGGACGGGTACAAAAGGCATTTCTCGAAAAAGTTGGAGAAGTCGGTGAACTATGCTGGTTTCTGACGAAGACCGGTTTTCTAACGTTTAAGAGAAAAGTACTTCGTCGTATGAAATATTTCTCCCATGTTTAGAAAAAGAAAACAAATTAACAATGTTAAAAATTACAAAAAATTTTCTGGTAAGCAAGAACTCACTAACAATACAACGTTAGTACGAGGATATTTTATAACGTGTAAACGTTTTCAAATATGTAGTTTTTAATATTGTATACAAAATCATATTGTTAACAATATTTGGCCCAAAGATTAAAAATAATATTTCTACGCTATGATTTAATATTTATACTTATTAGGAATATTACATTACTAAATAATAGTTTAAGAATATTCATAAAATATTATGTCAAAATCTTTATAAAATCGATATAAAATCAATGTTTTAAAAGATTGATTTAATGTTTCTTGTTTACTAGGTTTCCTTCCCATCAAATAAAGGCTAACTGATTAGCATATAAGAAATATACCTTCAATATTCGCACACTTACCGGCAGAACTTCCGGGTAGAACACGATCCTGCAGACGGCGGTGCGATGACGTGATCTTAATAATTTCGGCAAGCTCGTCAACGGCGTCTCCAACATCTGCGGTTTCCGGCTGATGTCCTGGACTTGAAATTCTATCAGCAAGTAGGAGATGAATTCGTCCCACGTCACTTTGCCATCGAGTTTCACGTCAATCTGAAATCGGGGCTCAAGTGAAACTCGAGGGATGACGAGTACGAACGATCAACTGACTTTCTTGAAGAGGATTTCGAATTCGGCCTGCGGCATTTCTATTTCGAGAATATCTTGGAAAGTGTCGTACAATTGGGAACAGGTCATTTCTCTATTCTCCGTTGCCTGAATGTGATATTTTTTATACTTAAGTAAGCAAGATAACAATTCTCAGAGTGAATCGAAGATACTGTGCAACGCACCAAGAAGGCGTTGTGCAATTGAGTCAAAGATTGCTCGGTGCATTGCTCCGCAACTGTTTTTGTCTCGAAAAATCGTTCGAAGGCTTTTTGTATGCTGTAATAATATAATTTACGAAATATAACACGTTCATTAATCTCGCGTTGCGATAACGATTAATTATTTCCTCGCGCTAACCTTGGATGCTTTTTGCCGACGAATTCCATTGCCATTCCACTTCCGACTGGAATCTAACGATCTTCCAATAAATAGGAACGACATTCGTAATAATTGTCTAATGAGAAATTAGAATCACATTAGAAATATATTTGTCAATTTTATCTACTCAAATTTTCAATACGAAAAAAAAACATGTCAAGAGTTATATCGAGATTGCACGCGATTTTGCATGATTAAGAACAAATACCGATCATATGTATTTTTATATTTTAAGTAGATTCGCTCAACCATATTCGATCGCTGCAGAGTATATACAGGGTGTCTCATTTTAACTAGCGCGCTTGAATATTTCTTTTCCTACGCGTTTACAAAAAAATATTTCAGTAAAATTCGCATATCATGCCGTACCGAAAGAAAGAAGAAATGACGCGCGACAGCAGGATAATCGATAACTTCTGTGTATGTACGATAGGTATAAGATAGGTGGTTGCTTAAAGCGTAGACACACGCTGCACCGTCGCGGCCGGATCAATGCGAGGAAACTGGTGTTTCGCACACCAAAGAAATCCGCGTCCCGTTGAGAATGGAACTGTTCACCGCTCTAAGCTTATTCAGCCGGCAAAAGTACGAGGAGTGCGCCGCGGTGTGCACGGATCTGCTGAGGAAGAATCCACTGGATCAGGTACGTATCTCAATCTGTTAGTGTTAATCCATCAGCGAATAACATCAATCGAATGTTGCTCCACCAGGCTGTGTGGGTCTTGAAGATGCGCGCCTTGACGCTGCAGGTCTACGTGGACGACATCGAGGGCGAGGAGGAAGGAATCGCGGAGACCCTGTTAGATAACTACGCGATCTCGTCGATGCCGAGGCCAGGGACCTCCTTGAAGAATCCCGGCACCAGCTACACCGGTCAAGGAGTGCGGCCGAAGTCTCAGTCAGGTTCGTCGTGGAAGCTCACTTGCAAAATTTCAATCGACATCTCTCTCTCTCTCTCTCTCTCTCTCTAAGGCTTCTCAAGCAAGCGACGTTAAAATGCCCTAAAGGTAGACCCGTCACTGGGGTAGTGCGGCCCGCCACTCAGGCAGCGATGTCTCAATCGATCGAGCAAGCGTTGAGAACACCGAGGACAGCGATGACCGCCAGGCCGATCACAGCGAGCTCAGGACGCAGCGTTAGGTATGACATTCAGGATTGTGTTTAATGTATCTATCAACGAAGGATGAAACTTTCGTCTTTCCAGGCTCGGTACCGCGTCGATGTTGACGGAGCCTGGTGGACCCTTCATCCAGTTGTCACGGTTGAATGTGACCAAGTACGCCAGCCAGCAGAGCATAGCGAAACCGTTGTTCGAGTACATATACTATCACGAGAACGACGCGAGATACGTGAGTATTATATTGTGAGTAAAATAAGACAGACTACGGCCTTAGCAAAATTGCTGAATTGTAATTTTTAAGACAATATTTTATGCTTTTTCACTTAATTTCTCTCCAAATCATATTTTTTTTTACTTTTCCTTATCATACAGCGATTTGTCATCGGTTACTGAGAAAACAGCTTTTCAGTTCAAGACTTTAGGACACGAGAGTCATTACTTAAAGATCTTAGCAGAATGGCTGATTTTTCGGCTCAAAACGATGTTTTATGCCTTCAGTCTTTGTCTTCAAGTGACGCACAAGTGACTGTCTTGTGTCTTAAACCAAAAAACCATTTTGTTTGTGATTGATGGCAAGCCACTGTATAATAAAAAAAAAAAAGAGAAGAAATGATAATTCAGACAAAGATCAAGGGCATAAAACGTTGTTTTAAAAAGTGCAAGTCCGTCATTCTGCCAAGACCCTTAAACAAAGACTTAAGATATAAAACATTGTCTTGAACTGATAAATCAACCATTCTCTACTAAAGCTCTCAATAACCAGGATACAGTTACGTTAACGTGCTCGAAATCTTAACACGTTCCACAGGCTCTGGACTTGGCCGTTCAGGCGACACAGATCTGCCAATACAAGGACTGGTGGTGGAAAGTTCAGCTGGGCAAGTGTTACTACACCCTGGGACTGGTTAGAGACGCGGAGCAGCAGTTCAAGTCCGCGTTGAGGGACCACAAAGCCGTCGAGACGGTTCTGAGGCTGATCCGTGTGTACGTCAGGCTGGACCAGCCGATAGCCGCGTTGGACACGTGCAAGCGAGGTCTCGAATACTTCACGAACGACGTCACGATTCTCACGGAGATGGGCCGCATATTCGAAGGCCTGAACAACACGTCGATGTCCATGAAGTATTATAAGATGATCGCGCAGGAGGACGCCTCTCACACCGAGGCGATAGCAAGTATAGGCATGCATCACTTCTACAACGATCAGCCGGAGTTGGCGTTGCGTTATTACAGGTGTGTATGTTGTGCCTAGACTTAGCAGGAAAAGACTTGGTCCGTATTCTGAATTTTGATCGATAAAAGCGCCTTAAATGTGACTTCTCAGGTGGCTCTCAGCCAATCAGGTGGTTCCTAAGCCACTTTAGAGACACTTTGATTGACAAAAATGAGTTCAGGGTACGGATCATCGCATTTCCGTGCAGTCTTCAGTTGTACATGTCTGAGAATTTGCTGGCATTCAAACGCTTTTTCAATTTTAATCCACAGACGTCTCCTGCAAATGGGCGTGCATAACGCCGAACTGTTCAACAATCTCGGACTCTGCTGCTTCTACGCCCAGCAATATGATCACACTATATCGTGCTTCGAGAGAGCGCTGAGTCTCGCCACCGATGAGAGCATAGCCGACGTGTGGTACAACATTTCTCACATCGCTATCGTACGTAAACGTACACACATATCACAAACACATATACACACACAGTTCTGTTTCGTCGCTTAGACCCGGTTTTTTATTTTCTGGTTAATTTATGATTTAGACTTGAACTGATGTTGATGCAAAAATGATGTTTTTCTATTCATAGTTAATTATTAAACTGATGGTTTCGTAGTGGTAACTTTTAAAGTTTAATGATTAACCATGAGTAGAGAAACATAATTTTTACATTATCGTCAGGTTAAGCCTAAATCATAAGTTAATCAAATAATGAGAAACTAGGTTTTAAAATGTCAGTTACATATTAATTACGATTATAGACTTTGGGCGACCTGATAATGGCCGAGGAGTGCTTAAGATTGGCCATCGCGACCGACAACAGGCACGCTCTGGCTTATAATAATCTCGGTGTGATAGAGATACGGAATAGCAACGTTACGGCAGCGCGGACCTACTTCCATGCGGCGGCCAACATCGCCAGTTACGTGTACGAGGCGCACTTCAACAGCGCCCACTTGGCTTACGAGGTAATCTATTCTTCGTCCGCTTTGATTATGCATGCGCAGATTAACATTGCAGATTTGCTCGATACACGATACGTGTACAGGTTGGGGATCTGCAGACGAGTTACAACGCGACACAAAAGTCTTTGAGCGCCTATCCCGGGCATCACGACAGCAAGGCTCTCTTGCGGAAACTGCAACGATACTTCTCGCACATGTGAGACGAGAGACAACGAGAGGAACGTTTCTTACTCTACACCGCATTATTTTATTTAACGTGTAACATATTTAAACATAATTCTATATACATAATATACATGTACAAAACGGCAAAAATTGCGTCACCAATTTCTTACACTGTCTGTATAAACGTCAGAAGTCAAAAAAGTGGTAATCATAATTGGAATTTGAAATGGAACACGAAATAATGATCATTAAGGTACACGGGAACACAGGAATCGATACTCAAACGCAGCAAGATTCTAGAATCAATGATGAGATTGTCCGTTATATCTATCGACGTCTTTTCTTATCAAGTCTGTATAAATATATACCAATCTGATGGTTTCTTTCTCTCATTCGGTGAGAAATAGTACGAGATATTTTTGTACCACCAATGAAATTTAGCTCGACTGTGTAGCACACACACATCAGAAGTTTCTATAATTATATTTAATTACAGATCTCGTAATTGACATTATCCAATGATACTCTATATAAGGAGATAATAAATACTCGGCGACTATAGATACGTGTATTACTCACAAAAAAGCACGATATTGGAATATGTGTCCAAGTAGGGAACTTGGAAAATATCTATGAAATAGTTGCATCGTCCAATTTGCTCTTTCCTTGCTTCATGTCCTCTGGGACCCATTCGGAAGCCCAGAGCGATATACAGTCTTCTGACAGAGAAGTTATTGTGTCGCATTTTACACAGTGTGGGATATAACTAACCACGATATTATAAAGTAAAATAGAAAAATTGGATATACTGCTAAAGCTTTCCTCCCTACGGGTTGACTGTCGCCAAGGAATGCCATCGATGCTGAAACGTTATAATATGAGTTTAATGAAAATCACTTCTCGATAAGTAAAATTTTGCAGGTATAGTTGCTACCGGCACTTACCATACGTTGCCCACAAAAATCCAATCATGGTGATCACAAACCTAAGGATAAATAGGAGTGTAGTTTGCTGCACCATCAGTATAACTCTGCACAAAATCAATGCAATGGCAGTCGGTAATAGGCAATATCCTAGGACGCAAACGCTTTGGAAAAAAGATCTGTAAATTTGAACGAATCCTTGCACATTTCACTGATCAGTATGATTAATAGGCTGCAACTCGTAATTCACAACAAGTTAACTTACATATTTCCACCCAAAAGTTTTGAATTCAATGTAACAACCATTGATCCAATCCATACGATGACAAAAACTTCTGCAAATTCAGGCCCTCCATCGTTCAAATTGTTTGCTGTGTCAGAGGAACCTTGTAATATCCTAAATGGATTATAGATTTAAATCAGATATATAACCTACTATCTCCCTAATATGCATGCATAAAATGGTAACTTACATTGCCATAAATGTGCATAATACTAATGGTCCCCAAAGATCCCCTGAAATATGACATGATGCAATGATCAACCTATGTTTCAATAAATTATCTTAAACAAAGTTGCCACAGAAAATGAATTTTGAAATTGCTATGTTTCCCAAATGATAAAGAATTTTCCATGACCGATATGTAATCTTTAATTTTAATGTTTAGAAGCAGGAATTATAGGAAAAATATCTTATATTACGAGAAAAACAGACATAGACATTTAATAATACAATTCCGAATTCAGGCCAACAAAAAATAAAAGAGTATTGAAAATCCAGTTAAAACAGAACAAGGCGATTGAATAAAAACGCTGAATAAAATTGACTAATCACATCCGATCTCCTTACGGTCAAGGAATAATCGTGACTGTGATTGGTCACATTTCTTATTGCTTAAGTTCTTTCATGCGTCGCAGCTGTAACAAGAAATGATTCGAACGATTGATTTTATGAACGAGTTTTGAACATATGTGACTACATGTATTAGATATCTATTAAAAACAATTATAAATACTCTTCAAAATAAGAGCATTTAAAGGAATTGTGAACAAAGCGAAGATTCCAAATTCTTCCACATCTTTCTCTGATTTTTTCAGGTTTTCCCTAACCAATGTAAGTTTCCACAACTTTTTCTAATTTTCCAGGTCTGTGGCAACTCTGTTTGAGATTTGTCTACCGCAGACTCACATTCCTTCAGCAGACTTTTCTTCTCTTTAGGGTATAAAACGTGGAAAAATTTCTTGCCCACCGCACGAACGTCCCTCAACTATACGAGACACAAACAACAGAGCTTATTACTTGAGATAAATCTCCAAGTCGGAGCTTAAAAGAAAGTGAAACAACACCAGCTTACAATTGTATCTCTGATGGGCTCGTCTAGTGTATTAAATTCCGGCTCTCCCAAAGTCGACCTCTGCTTTGCACCAATTGTCATCTCACCCTCGATATGCTGAGGGTCCACGGTGTATGCAGCATCATCGTACATCTGTCAAACACAACAGTCAAACTTCAGGTATGACGGTATCCGCGTCAAAACGCGCACATATAACACGACTTGTATTTTCAGTAATTATCGCGACAACGAGCTCTCCTCGGACGGCGATCGGGAAAGTGCGCAACAGATGACAAGATACTTGCGTCCAGCTTCGCCTCGGCCATCGCCGCCATATTTACTGCCAACTTGGGATTTACTGCGAGAGGCTACTACTGCGGGGAGGTGTGTCGTCGACGATCCCGTGGATGATGCGTCTCCACATATGCATATCAGGGGAAAATTCGTCACGTGTGTGTCGGCACGTTCGTCCGCACTGGTTTACACCGTGCACACTGTGCAAGCTCGCATCGACGATTCAGTTTCCTGACGTCGCGCTTGACATCAACACGTGCGAGAACGTCGCGTTCGTCGCTGACGACTCGCGATTTCAGAGCTCTACGATCAACACGCTCGAAACGAGCCGCCGGTGGCTCGGTGATGGAGCCGATGGACTAGAAGTGACGGATTCGACGGAGAAATCGCGTCGACAGATGGCCCCGCTGTCACGGCTGAGTCGTCAGCGCAACGGTAATTGCTGCGTGGCTGCGTTCGAACGACGCGAACGTCCAACGGTGACATCGAGCGATACTCTCTCGATGCGATACTGCGAAGCGAAGCGAAGGTCAACGAAGGTCGTCGTGCAGCCCACTGCCGGAGTTCCCTCGCAATGCAACGTTCACGAGAATTACACCGGCCGCCGAGTGTTTCCCTTCACGTTGTTGTCGTGATCCTGACGTTGTTGACAATCAGCGCGCACACGCAGCGGGAAACCGACCAACCAATGGAGAACGAGCCGCGAGAGAGCGCGGAATCCAAATCGAAGCTCGACGAGGAACTGTGTATCCGTTTGATTTCCTCATCTTGTTTCTCCCTTTCCCTCCCTTCCTCCGATCGACCCTGTCACTTTTTTTTTAAGCCACACGCTCTCCGTACTTTGAGGAAAGGAAGTAATGAAGAGGATAATGTTGCTTCTCGGATTATTACAGCGCGCACTCGTGTTTTAAGTATGAGAGGACGCGAAAGTGTGCGGCTAAGAAGTACAGAGACGCCCAGCAAAATGTTAAGTGACAGTAACATTATGTGATTTCTTTTGTTAATTTATAATTAATAATTATGGTTTAATTTGTAATTGTTATAGTTCCCAGCTCAACAAAATATACACACAGTAAAAGATCCAGTAAGCAAGGAATGTTAAATCGATTTTTTTTAATATTGATTTCATATGGATTTTAGAAACGTTTTGACATAATATTTTATAAATGTTTTTAAACTGTTACTTGATAATATAATACTCTTAAATATTAAAATTGTAGTGTAGAAACATTATGTATTGCAAAATAAATTGCAATATAACATATACAATATAATTGTACATAACAGTTACATTGTTGAGTAGACAACATTGATGTTAATATTATTGTTAGTGTTTGCTGGGATTTTTCAATTGATCTCGTTTATCTTACATCTGTATACACCTTAGCTGAGCTCACACAGTTAAGAAACTATTTGCCCAACGGCGCAAGGATCACATACAGGCTGTGCAGACACTTCTAAAGATGGACAACTACGAGCGGCTGTACAAGATGATCGCGATGCTAGCTGAGAAGGTGGTGGAGGTCATCGAATCTAGCAAGAGCGTCATCGAGGAGGCTGCTTTCGTGCCGAATAACAGTTCCTTCCCGGAAGACACTAACATCAAAGAAGGTAACGATGATCCAATCGCTTCTTGTGCGAAAAGATTGACGCTCTTCTGCACATTGATTTTCGTCAAAGCTCTCCTTCATTGGCATCTGAAATTATTGATCAGTTAATAGAGACGTAAAATAGAGGCAAATAGAGACGTAAAATTATCGTCAGATTCAAAGTGACGATTACTTACAATATAATTACGGTAAGATGGTAATTTATTGGTAATTTTGATAAAATTTGTTTTTTACAATTTTATGTACAAATAGTATATAAAATAGTAGCTGCACTTGTGTTTTCTACACTAATGCATAAGATAGGACAATTTTTCTTATATTCTCATCAAATATATATCTATATGATAATCTCTGAAATGTTTTTTAGATGAAAGAAAGAAAACTATTTACAATTCTTCGAAGGTAATAAAGTTTTCATTTCTCAAAATACTACTAAACCACTTTTTACTTAGTTTCCTGATTACTATATGCTATATATAGTACATCAATGTCAGTATCAAAATATTTAAAAAAAAAGTATGAGTTAAATAAAGCGTTTTACTCATCTTAAAGGCTAAATGCTCCTTTTGAGCTTTATATCAAAATATTTCGATTTCTGTCGTTTTAAAAAAAAAATTACCCTTTTACCAGCTTTTCAAAATTACCCGGTAATTTGCCGAGTAAGTTATCGTCATACTGGGTCATTGTCATCTCCAGTTACAAACGATGTGATGATAATGATCGTTTTATCAAGTGTATGAAAAACTGAAGTCTGTCTTCAGTATTTTCCATTTTTACTTATTGGTCTCCATATGCGTGTCGCAGCGTTATCCAGCATCCTGGAGAACACTGCGCTCTTCGGAGACATCATCCTGCACCTGCCGGACATCTCTCACAGAATACTGAGCACGCATCAGAGCTTGAACTCCACGTTACACTGGTCCCTGAATTTCGCCGATCGAATGCGCCACTTGCTGGACGAGTCGACCATCACGATGATCCGCTTGGTCGTACAGGAGCTGAACATCGCGGAACGGGACCCGAACTATTTTAATCCGTACCGGTCCGCCGCCGACGAGCGCGAGGACGACTCGAAGGTGACGAAGAAGAAGAAGAAGAAGCAATCAGCGAAGAAGCGCAAGAAAGGCCCGCAGATCGCTAAAATCGATTTGTGAGATTCCTCGGCGACCGGTTCCCGAGTCGCCTCAGAACTTGAGAAGCCAGCTTCTCAGGACCCTAAGACAGTCAACGGCCTACCGATGGCTCCCGTCGTTTACGAAGATACGCTACGTTTCGTTCTTTGCAGCTGAAGCAACAGCAACGGACTTCCGAACGGCGGCATATCTATTCGACGATTTCTATTCGAGAACTCTCTACTAAGTTTCCTAAGATTACTCAACATCGCGTGCATTTCGCGCGAGCATTTTGCGATTAGTTCTACTGTTGTATCGTTAAGCTGCGTACACACCGTATGAACGAACAAAGAACGAACAACGAATGCAAACTTTCGTTGTTGCAATTTGGAAAGTATGCATGCTATAACGAGTCCGAGCAGAACGGGGGAACCGATTTGCTCATCAGGTGGTTGATCAAAAAAAGTTCTAAGCGCGTTTAGATGCGAATGTACACATTCATATTAGGCTGGATTCGCAATAGGTAAGCCTTTGGTCTTAGCCTTTAGCCTTTTGTCTTAAGCAATAAAATCCCAGACAACGTAACGTCTGAAATCGAGATGTAAAACGTCTTGAAGACGTTTTTAAATAAGACTTTATTTCTGATAAAAGGCGTCGTCCGTACTGCCAAGTCGCTGCGAAAGTGGTAATGCTTATATTTTAGGAATTGCAACGTCCGGTAACGCTGGAAATGCACTAAAAATTACGTTATAATTTAGTTCTCGGAGCAAAAGGCTAAAAGCACCTGTTGCAGATTCAGCTTTAAGTAACAATGCCTCTACACATATCTAATTCTAGACATTCTTATTGTTTTGGAATTTTATAAAAAAAAATATATATATATACGATATATAAAATATATAAAATTCTATGTTGAAAGTTTGAATTCGTAAATTAAAACAATAAGAATGTCCAGTTAGATACGTGCATATTAGTGCTTTTACCTAACGCATTCGTCATTCGTTCGTCATTCGCTCGCTCAGTGTACGCCGATCTTCAAGTAACGAAGATCTCTGCGCATAGCTCAACGGAGCCTGTTGAAGTCGTGATCACGATCGAATAAAGATATCGTATTGCCGACGTATCTCCAACTAGCGCTAGAATTCGACGTCCTCCGACTTGCTCCCAAGGTCAGGCGTCTGCATCCTCGTGTTAATTCGCAGGCTTGCAATTCATCCACGTCGCAATTTCGGGTTCCAGGAGGAGGAAGGAAAGGGGGGAGAGAAAAAGAGAGAAGGAGGGCCGCTGCTGTCCCTGTTCGAAAGCGAAACCCGGGCTCACCTCGCGCCGTGGATCTCGCGGGCGACGCGTCCCATCGGCCGTTAGAGACAGCGGTTTCTCGTCTCGCACTCGGCGACCCGGTAGAAAGTGGTCAGCCAATGAGCTGAGGAACGGCGGCGCTGCCAGTTCCCGCGAAGTGCCACACCGGCCCTCACCGCGCGGGTACCCCCGGCAGTGTCGCGACGGCGGATCAACCCGGTGGTGGTCGATCGGCCGATGATACGTCTCCGTGGTCGCGGTCGCGCGAGCTGAAGCGAAAAGCACCGAGCACCGAGGAAGGCACGCGGAAGCATCCGGAGACGGGACGGGAGACGCCGAGCGGTCGCCCAGGAGGATCTCGGCGTCTGCGACGCACGTACAAATCGACGACGACGATACGATGAAGCTCCAGGAAGCGGCGCTTCTCTGCGCCCTCTTGACCGTCGTCGCAGGTAGGCGCGCCTTCCCGCGAATTATTCCTTACGTCGCTTCCCACCTTTCTCTTCTCGTTGGCCATCGGCTCCCAGAGACCGGGCCTATGTGTCTCCTGCGTGGGAGGGCCGGAAAAACTGGGGGAGGGGGAGGAGGGAAATTACTGGAATTCCCGTGGGACGTTTCCGTCCGATCACGGGCCGTCCACCTTGGAAATGGCGAGACTTCAGGATCGAATGCTCGATCGGCCGGGGATCACTCGCGCGAACCCAGTTCGTCATGCCGCGATTTTCACCGATTTCGTTCGCTCCGATGCAACGGCGGCAGCTTTCCAAAAATTGCGAGACTCGCCCGGACGGTCACCCGTGTCCCGGCGAACTGAGCTCCCGAATCCGCGTCTTCGCGTTCTTCGGGATGGCTCCTGCTGTTCTTCGAGACCGCGTCTGCGACCAGTCCCGCAGCAAGTTGCGCACGCTTGTTTTCCCCCTTTTCTCCTGTCCCCTCCGGCATCTCTTATCCGCTTCTCTCCTTCGTGGCCAATATATTTGTCGGCGAGATCACCTGTCGGAGAAACCGTATACAATAATCCGCAATCACTTACGCGCCAATTATCCCACTCGTCCGCATATTGCATTCCACACTTGCGCTATATCGCGAAGAGAAACTCGCCAATTACGAGGGCTACTTGTTTAATTGAAGAACTTGAGATCGGAGGTGACTTAGAATTCGAACTGTTTTTCGCCGAATCAAAATTCCCCGATTATTCGAGAAACGTGTATGAATTCGTCTTGGGAAAAAGGGGAGGAAAAGGAAGAAAGGAGAGAAAGAAAATCCGAGGAAACGAGAGACGACACTGACGCGCCGACGAATTCGGCATGTCGCGGTTTCACTCGCGTTTACATAAGATTTGTTTCACGCGCATATGGCGGTGTAGTCACGCACACACGTGCGGCCGCACGTGTGCGTGCATGCGTCCGAATGATAGCGAGGAAATGTGCACCTGAGAAAGAGTGGGAGAGGGAGAGAGAGAACAGAGCGTACGTCATTGGCAACGTTACGGTGGTGCGTACCTTCACTTTCCACTTCGCGCGTTAAACGGATCTCTTTGACATCCGCGAGCGCGAGCACCTCTCTCGACAAGTTACGGTCGTAATTCATTTCGAGCGCCGTAAGGAATTCTTCCCGCGGAAAACAAGTGAAATTTACAAAGAAAACTGACGTAGAAGTGTCAAACCGACGTTTTCCGCACGAATGATCTCTCGATATTCGCGCGGAGAAAAAGATTTCTTTGGATTCAACAAAGTTTTGTCAATTGAGACAAATTTGTCTTCCGGAATGAAACAAAGGAATGATTCAACAATTGTTTGGTTTCTCAAACGATAAATATCTTCACGTCAAATGTTTCTTTTGTATTTTTCACTAAATTTTCATTAAACTTTCATTAAACATTGCAATGGTTATCACAAGTAATAAATTATAAGAAGTAATATTGTATTAAAAAAAGCATTAAAGAACTTCTTGTTGTTTCAGTAGAACAATATTTAATATATAAGATATCCTAAATATCTTAGGGGCCTAAATACGGGGACTTTAAAAACAATCGAAAAAATCATCTGAAATTAGAAATTGTTTAAAATTAAATTTCAGAATTTAGAAATATAAAAGTCATTCACACAGTCCAAGTAAGCAAGAAACGTTAAATTAATCTTTCGAAACATTGGTTTTGTGAATTTTATAAACATGTTGACATAATGTTTTATAAATGTTTTAAAACTGCTACTTGATAATATAATATTCCTAAATATCAAAATTAAAGTGTAGAAATATTATTCTTAATATTTGGGTCAAATGATGACGTTGAATGACGGTGTATACATTATTAAGAATTACACATTCGAAAACGTCGCATGTTACAAAATATCATTGTAATAACGTTAATGTTAATGACTTCTTGCTCGCTGGGAACATACTTATGCGAGGAATTCCACATTTCCGTTCGTACCTTCGTCGGCGCTATTAAGCCAAATTGAAAGGAGGAGAAAGGAATGCGAGAACTTCGTCGACGATCCTCCCGACTTCGTAGCTCAACACCGATTTCCCGTTCCTGTTTCACAATGCCGCCCTTCCACCTCCCAGACGCATACATGTATACTCGTCTTCGCTCGAGGAAGTCCGGCGAAAGCGGTGGTCTCGCCGATTTTGCGGGCATTGCGGTGCACCTTAATCGTCGGGCGACCGAACCGTGCGTATCGGCTGTCCTCGACGTGCAATTCCCGGCCACCGGGGAGTAGAGACCTCGCGATAACTTGTCTGCGGCTCATCCGCTGAGAGTGGAGTGGTAATTACCTCACCTCATTCCCATGGAGGGAGCTGGATTAAAACAAAATCATCGATTAACGCTCCCGACGACGGCGAGTGGCATTTAAGACGACAGAACGGAGAGATGACGGATCTCTCACAGCGGTGATCTCATGGATCGAGACAGAGCCGATAAGAAGAGACGCGCGTAACGTTATCTAATATCAGTTTTAATTACCGTCACGAGCGCAAAAGCGACGCGGCGCGCGAAAATGTAGCGCTACACGTAACGATTATAAGGTCACCGGGAAGACTCCCGGGCAGATGCTACTTTCTCTCTCGTGAGTGCACTTTTTTCCTTTCTTTCTCTCCCTCTGTTTTTTCTGCAATACGCACCTTCGGGTCTCTATATTAATCGCACAGGCAATTTCTCTCGTTAACACTCGCATCATTCGCACGCACGCACGCACGAACTTGTCTCATTAATCCGAACTTCAATGTAAAGCGCGCGCAAGGCCTGGGAAAAAAATGTTCCATATATAATTAAATAGAATTGGATATAATTATATAAATACGCACAATTGTGTATGAGGCGTCATATATAAAATATGTCCATATATATGTAGATAAATAAATAAATATATATATATATATATATGAAGCGATGATACAGAGTTATATATGATTACATATAAATATATATAAATATATATATTATCATATATAATCGTATATTTTTATATATGTACAGACATATTCTATATATAATTATACACGAGAAATGTTCTCCCTCCCCCGGATAAAGAAAAAAAGAGAGAAGAACGCAACGCAACGACACCTGAAGAACCTTGAATGCACTTATGGGTGTGAATACGACGTTTACCTCTCCAGTTGTTGCTGTTCATTGCCGAGAATGTGAATTGTAAACCTCATGAAACGCTTCTTGTGCAATCCCTGCTCGTACTACGCGCCGCTGTCGCCGGTTCTTCCGGCGCATGGAAATTCCTCGCACGTTTTGTGTAAACGTATCGGTGTGCCCTCCGTGGGCGACTGAAAAGAGAGGTCACGACATACAAATCGGCCAGAAGGCACAGGCTTGAGCATCGCGGAGAAATTGGACCGCGTTGGTTTTCGATCAGTCGGGTGACGATATGCGTTGACCGCATTCTACAATCATTCGTGCGATACGGTTTTAATTAAATTGTATTTCAATTAATTTGGTTTTCGAACTAGCACATTAGTGTTCTACGTGGTCTTTTGGTCAACGTTTCGTGAACATTTTAGCTCATTTCTTCAACCTGAAACGTTTTATACATATTATTTTTATGTCTTATATATATTATTTTTATATATATTAATTAATGTGTTTCAATTAATTTCAGCTTTAACGTCCAAGCGTCGCGGCTTCGTGTCGGATTTGCGCGTTGACATATAGAGAGAAAGATTTCTTTGGATTCAGTATGCGTACTTGTTTGACGGGTTTGTTTACTATAAACAACATAATCTACCTAGACAGCGTATGTCAGTTTCATATATGTTCTTTAAACATATATAACGTTTCATAATTGTATTACATACGTTTAGAGAACATATATGAAGCTAACTATGCTACCTCTAAGTAATATTAAATATCATTTTGTTTGAATGAAAACGTTGTTGTTCACTAGAGTTGTTGTTCACTAGTAAATCGTGTTGTTTCATAGAAAAAAAAGAACAATATTATTGAGAGGAAATCTACATGAAGCTAAATGCGTGCGATTTTTCTCTTCAATTAGAACAACATAAATGCATGTTATGCGCGTCATTTAGTTACCTATTATTGGGGAAAAAGTTTCAAATTCGATACGATTTAACGCGTCTTTTTTGAAAATGGAATCGCCTATACTTGGAAAAACGACGAAAAACAAAGCGAGGCGAACTTTGAGACACGTTGACCCAGATAGCACAAAATATCTTATGAATATTCTAATGAAATACGAATGCTTTTAATTCGAGAATATTCGAATCGAATATTCCATGCATATATGCAGAATATCGTAAACAGAGATTTATATATTCATAACGGAGAAGAACGTTCTTAAAGTTCATTTACTGCGCATATGCAATGCATTGATCCAACTGAAAAGTAGACAAACCTGTATATGCATTCAAACAGCACAAAACCTAAAACCGGGACATGAGACGTCTTTAAGACGTCTTAAAGATATCTTACTTAAAGACGACTTTAAAATGCCTTAAAATGTCTAAAAGACATTTTATATCCTGGCTTTGGGTTTTCTGCTGTCTAAGCAGATACATTATGACACATATATTTAATTGGAGACTGAAATCTGCATGTGCATGCGCGATAATATTTTCGTGCGTATTTTATCCCCCCCTCTCATCTGCTTACAACGTTTATGAAATATTTTATGCACATTCATAGAACATTTATATAATAGGTTATTCGAGTATACTAAAAACATAGTATACTATGAGTATATAACAATGTTTTAGTGCATTTTATGAATATACAAATATTCGTAACGAATATATTCGTAGAACACTCGTAGAATTTTCCTGTAGACTATCAGGGAAGAAGCCCGTTTAAAAATTCGGTCGAAAAAAATAGGGAGCCCGCGTCCTCCGGCAGCTCGTCCTTTCACGTGTTCCCGACGCGTTTTCGCGGCCGCAAGGAGCGTAAACATTCGACTCGGCGCTTCTTAACGCGCCCAAACATATTGGAATGCCCCGCAATCGCGTTTCTCGCTTTCTCGAACCACTCTTCTGGAATTTCTCCTGTCCGGGAGTATTTTCTACACGCGGGCTATCTATATACGTGCGATGTCGTCTTCGTTATTATCCGGCCGGCATAATTTAATGCTGAATATTAATCGGAGAATCAAGAAACCGAAATTCCACGACCTTGGTGGAAGGCCGCTCGGTTCCGAAAGTGTCTGTATATAAAGCTTCCCGGACAACACGAATATGTCCAAAATCGGGACATAAGACATCTTTCCGACATTCTTAAGTTGGCTCGAGGATATCGTAATATAAGATGTGTTTAAGTCGTTTTTAAGATATCTAAAGGACATTTTATATTCCGACATCTTGGACATTGTGCTGAATCGTAGTCGCTATTATTGGAGAGATTATTAATGCCGTTGAGTCATGAATTTTCCTTACACGAACTCGCGCGGCTCTTCCGTGCTCTCGTTAAAGTCACCGCCGGGCGTAATCGCGACGCTCACGCGGAGCGTAACAACTGCTTGACAAAGAGAGAGAGAGAGAGAGAGAGAGAGAGAAAGAACGTGGTAAAAGTAGAACGTAGGCACTTGACAGCCGGTCATCCTGACTACAGGAGCGTGGTAAATACATTCTCGGGCGCATAAACGCGTTTCGAGCAAGATCCCCAACCTTGACATTTCATGCCCGGCCTGACGGCTTTCGAGCTCTTCACTCGATCCCACGAACGGACGGACGGGACCACGATGGCACGAAGTCGTCGTGATCTTTCCTCGAGAAGCAAAAAAGAAAGGAAGAAAAAAAGAAGAAGACGAGAAAGATCATCTCCACGGCCGGGCAAAGGCGCGCGCGATGAAATTTGATTTTGAGCGCACCGGATCAGCCGGTTACGAAAGCAACACTTCGTGCACTTTCACGAGGGGGACGGGAGAAGGAGAAGAAAAATCTCTTCTCCCACGGCATGTTCGCGCGCTTATGAAGCGTGCCGTTTTTGGCGCGTGTATCTCGCGTGAAGAATCCTCACCGGCGCGTCGACGTGCTTCATCCGCTTTGTCTCTCTCTCTCTCTCTCTCTTTCTCTCTTCGTTTCAGTTCATTGCCAGAAGAACAAAAAGGACGAGGACAAGAAGGACGAGGAGTTCAGGTGTCCGGAAGGCCAGGGTAACGGGAACTTCGCCGACCCGGCTACCTGCAGGAGGTTTTATCAAGTAATTACGACTCACGTCTCATTCATTCTCAGATTATTTATTTTTTTATTATCAGTCGGATATCGATTATTCATTACCTTCGAGCGTCATCGTTCGCGTTCTAATCGTCTACGTTTGTTTCACTCTGTCTCCGCCGGAAGTGCGTCGATGGATATCCCTATCTGAACCGGTGCCCGTCGGGTCTGCACTTCGATGACATCAGCAAGTTCTGCACCTTCAAGAACGAGGCGCGATGCGGACCCATCGAGACCAGTAAGATCGTCCTACCGTCTTTTCTTTGACCCGTATTCTGAACGCTCTTTTTATCGATATAAGTTCCTTAAATGTGGCTTCTCAGTCAATTAGATAGTTCCTAAGCCACTTGTAAGAAACACTTTTATCGATAAAAGAGAGTTCTGAATACGGGTCTATATCTTTATCGCTCATTAGATGTAAAACAAGGATAGAATAACGCTTTAACGCTGATTGAACGCGCTCTCAAAAACGCGCTGTAAAAAACTATTATAATATTAAATAAAGACTAATATACAGATATTATAGACAAATTTTGGGACTATTGATCATTTCGTTTTGAAAATATAGTGGAAGAAAGTTTATAATTTATAGTAACATAAAAAAATATATATATTTATTTATTTATTTATTTACTTATATCGTTGGGGATGTCTTTTAATTTCTAGCTCCGGCACCGATCACCGAGCCGCCGACGGACCTGGCTGAGCGATGCGACACGTCCGAGTGCCAGCTTCCGTATTGCTTCTGTTCCCGCGACGGCACGATCATCCCCGGCGGTCTCAAGCCGGACGAGGTAAACACACACACACACACACACACACATCCGTAACGATTTGTCAATCCGCTCGCAGATCTATCGCAGAAAGAGCGAAACATATAGTAGACACGTAGAGACACAGTTATCACATAGTCGCTCGTCGAACGCTTGCAGACGCCGCAGATGATCATCATGACGTTCGACGGAGCGATCAATCACAACAACTTCGACCATTACCAGAAGATCTTCGCTCAAGACCGTGTGAACCCCAACAACTGTCCGCTGAGAGGCACGTTCTTCATCTCCCATGAATACTGCAACTACAACATGGTGCAGAGTCTGGCGCACGATGGCCACGAGATTGCCACGGAGACGATCTCGTGAGTAGACACGCTGTGATCTTCGTCGTTGGGGTCAGAATAGAGCGGGGTTAGAGTAGCTGATGGCAAAATGTTTAGGCTACAGAAAGGCTTGGAGGACAAGGGTTACGAAGAGTGGGCCGGCGAGATGATCGGCATGCGAGAGATACTGAAGCACTTCAGCAACATCTCAACCAGCGAGGTGGTCGGCATGCGAGCGCCTTACTTGAAGCCCGGTCGAAACACCCAGTATAAGGTGCTCGAGGACTTCGGTTACATATATGACAGCAGCATCGGAATCTCGCCGCTGAAGGTGCCGATCTGGCCGTACACTCTCGACTACAAAATCCCGCACGAGTGTAAAGCAGGCACTTGTCCCACCAAGTCGTTCCAAGGTAATGAGACCAACGATACCTGTGGTCCAGGCTCTTCTGTAATTCGATTCGGAAGACTCCGGAGCGAGTAGAACTGTAGAATTTCGGCGAGATTCGCCGTATGATGGCTCTCTGAAACCTTAACTCATCGTTCCAGGTATTTGGGAGCTGCCTCTGAACGCGCACTACGTGGAGAGCTACGAAGGCGGGCACTGTCCTTATCTGGACCAGTGCGTTCTGCACAATCACGATCCCGAGGAGGTGTTCGATTGGCTGCAGGAGGACTTCAACAGGTACTACGAGCAGAACCGAGCGCCGTACATGATGCCCTTCCACACCAATTGGTTCCAGATCAAGGAGCTCGAGCGCGGCCTGTCGAAATTCCTCGACTGGGCAGCGACGCTGTGAGTGAAGAAGACGCTGAAGAGGCATCGTCAGCATTAAGGAAAATCGAACCGACGGAAATACAATTTCTTCTTACAGACCTGACGTTTACTTCGTCACCGCCACGCAGGCGCTGACATGGATGACCGATCCGAAACCGATCAAGGCTTTACACAACTTCGAGGGATGGTCGTGTAAAAAGAAAGAGAACCTGCCAGGGCCGCCGTGCAACAACCCACACAAGTGTGCCTTAGACTTCAAGCCCGCCGAATCGAACTTCACAACGACGAGGTAGAAATTGCATCTGATAGTTGCTGAATTACTGGTAACACGCATGATTAACCCCTTAAGCGGCATTGACGACCTTTCAGCGTCAAATTTTGCTGTGTTTCTGGGAGTAGTGATACCTTCCGGCGTCACATGCGTTTCTTTAACGACTCATTGAAGTGATTTTCCTGAAACATTGTACTTCGGGGTTTTTGAAGTCACAAAATTCAAATTTGACGTTAGAAACTAAAAATTCGAAATCGCTGAAACCAAATATGACGAATTGAATATTTATTTTTGGATTGTTGGGATTTTATAGTCCGCCATATTGCATGGGCCATTTTGAATTTTTAAATTTAGATCACAAATTTGCTTTTAGGGACCCGAAATATCTTTATATGCTAAATTTTACGGGAATCGAAGTACTTTTTTTTCCTGGTCCCAGAGACACATTTTCTTCTATCGCTCAAGGCGTTAAGCAGTCTCGTTATCTGAGCAGGATAATGGTAAAGGTGTCCGGAATTATTTTCTACAGGTATCTGGAGACGTGTAGAGAGTGTCCGAACAAATATCCGTGGTTAGGAGATTCAAAGGGCACAGGGTTGTACAACGACAATTACAATCCTGGAAAGAAATAGGAGCGTCAGTCGAGTGAGTTAGATTTAATTTTAGCGCAAGCGATCCGTGTCTCTCGCCTGTTGTTATCAAAGTGGATACCGCGTGTGATATATATATACATATATATATCATTATATATATATATATAATGACAATTATAACAGGTGTCTCGCTCTTCCTCCAGCGTCGGAAAAACTATTGATAAAGTATGCCAATGGTGTTTCGCTCTCAATTGTATGACCCAGCGTGCGTAAACTTGTACTTTTATTCTCGTATAGAGCACATCTTGACAATCGTTCACAGGCATTTATAACGTTAAGCGCGTACTGCTCGATTTGGACTATTAACAGAGAGAAAATAAAGTGTTTCCATGCTATATGTACAATCCCACGAATCTCGTTCTTTCCTTCACAGGATAATGGCAGTCTGAAAAATCATCATTCTCGTACGTATTTACAATGTCCTACACACACATAATATGTGCTTATTCTCAGACACTTGTGGAAGCAATGAATCTTGTCTTCACGGGCAGTAATAATATATTTTAAAATTGTGTGTGTATATATATATATATATATGTAGTACATCTACATTCGTTACAATGAACGACACTGTTTGTTTGATGTCAGAGAGATGCTCATAACCATCTAAATAAACAATAGTAATTACCTAACGTATTGGACTCCACGGCTTGAATATATCTTTGTATTTTACTCGCTCTGAAAGGAGAAAGAGCAAAAGCAATCAAGTAACATGTATTTTAAGTCTAATTAAATGGAATAAAGAAATTTCAATATTTTTTTCCTTATAATATAAATAATATAAATTATAGTATCATAAACTACAGACGGTCTCGTTGAATTCTCTAATTTAACAATATCTCCTTCCTTTAGTAATTAAAAAGATTCATACCTGGCTTAGGAAAGAGTTCTGGATGGAGTTTAACATAAGTCCTTAGTCTAGTATCACGTTCAGCTTTGAAGTGGTCGACTACTCGTATAAGAAGTTTTGCCACAACAAAGCCCGCTGCCATAAATGCAGCATGAAATTGTAAACCTAAGCATAAAAATTATCCCGATGTTGCACAATTGTGAAAGTTGTTTCCACAACGAGTGATTATCAATGCAGAATTAAAGACATAACATTGCATTGTCAACCGCATCAAAACACTGTTTAAAATACCCCAAGTCTATATTAAATATAAACATATCAAATTTATATTAATATTATAGCAGATCACGTTGTCAAACAAAGATCAATTATAACAAATAAATATTTTTTTACGTCAAATATAAAAGGATAAGAAATTGCCCTCAACACTCTCTGATCTCGCCATGTTATATAAGGCATAAGGTTAAGAGGTTATGTTGCAAAGTATGCGTAGAAAAATACTCCGTTTACGGTGATCAGTGGTATTGATAAATACACTTACCGGCGTAGAGTGGCCTGCGATTGACGTAATTTCTGAAGCACCCAAGTCCTGCACCAGCCCCCACAAATACGAATTCTCCAGTGTACTTTCGCAAGATATTGGGTTCATAAGTATCGGATTCCGGTCTCAGTAAATCCAGTGCCCATTCAATATCAGGATTTTCTGAGTACCGTTCTTTATCCATTATTGTGTCTGCGACTTTCCTTTTGCACTAAACCAAATAACTGCAAATATGATGTTTCACCACGACTGGGCGAATGCAGGCAAGTAGTTTACTCCGTTCGGCTGCGCAGGAACGAAGACAAGACACACGAGGGCAGCACATGTAATACTACTATATTGCTATAATATTATTGCTATATTACTATATTGCTACGTGAGAGAGAAGTCCTGTTGCGGAATTACGGTGCTAACTTGACCAGACATTTTTGCATTTGATAGATTTTGATTTATATTCATATAGTACCGTAAAAAAAGTAGATGAACGTTGTACTCAGAAAAATATCTTTAAATCAGAGTCTTTGAGTTGTAAAATGCTTCTTGAACCACTCCATCAGCGTGATTTTGGTGGAAGTTGCTAGTTGAATCTGTTCTCAACGGTGAGCTGGACAGATCTTTATTTCCCAATTAGCATGACGGCAGCGAATCAGGCCGCACTTTTATTTGCAAATTGCATAATTTGACGACAAGTCAAACGTCAGTTTAATTTCATACAATAAACATCAATCTCCCACCGATGAAGAAAAAAACAAAGATCTTCTTTACTGATCATATTTACATTTATTAGTACACATACGCAACATCTTCACACATCTCTCGAAGGATCTTTAATTTTGACTCAATTGTGTGTGACCTATATTTTGTTTTTTTCTTTACACATATCTACCGAATACTATTCGTAATATTGTGTTTTGATCGCGGCACATAATCGCATTTTAATACAACAATGTTACTTTCACTGGATTCCTTTTAGCGCTCTACGCCCAAAGATAGCCAATCCCTTTTCGCTAGGTTTACGTTTAATGTCACAGTGGCACCAAACACTTCGAATCTAATTGCTGTGTTTAGAGCGCAGAGTTTTGGCTCATATGATTGTCAGTAAATTGATGTACTCTTCGTACGACAGGTGTGTCGAACAGTAGGACAGTCTCTAACGAATTCTACGTGCCGTTCATGCACGGCTTGGCTATCTTTGTGTGATGTGTGTGTTACAGTAAAAACATTTAACATATAAGTAAATCTCCGGTGAGATGTCGTCGTCCTCAGAAGTACCTAAACCTATTATTGTGAAAAGAATATGCGCGGATCTTTGAATATAGAAATAGAAAAATATATATGTCACAGGGAAGTGCTCGGGACATTCAGCTGAAAGTTCTGAACGGGAGTACTAAAAGTTATAATTCTGCATCTCGAAGGTCTGTCTTCTAAATCGTAAAATATCACATTCTTCGTTCTTCGATATATCTCTCTAACAGTTTAGTTTAGCTTCACAGCAAAGAGATAAAGCGTAACAGAGGTGTAAATACGTAGCAACATCTCTAACACATAAATATTCTCTTTACTTCTATTCCTCTGCCCCTCCCTCTCAACGCAGCTCTTTCTCTCTCTCTCCCTCTCTTTTATTCGAGATTTCTTATTATAAAAAGAATAAAAATAAGATTAATCTTTCTGAAGAGGAACTCTCGAATTTGGACTATGTATATTATGTATGGAAGTAAAAGTAGCGGCCGTTAATGATGAAAAAAATTATGTCAATAATAATTATCACATTGTAATACCCGCTTTGGAAGAGTATATATATATATATAAATATATATGTTGTACTTTTAAAGTATATATACACGTAATCTCGGTAAATGAAAATTTTGAAACGTACGTGACATGTGGCGCGATGCGCGGATACATGTTGTCGAACATAATGTGGCACGTGTCAAAGGAACACTGGCTTCGTCACAGAAATGCAAACGATATTTCAAGGTTCATTGAGACATCAAGAGGTAAAAATATATATTTGATTGCTTCCTTTAAGATGAACTGGTTATCCCAGTTAGCTTCCTGATTTCACGACTCCCCTATACTCGAGAGGTGTGAAATATATTATAAAAGAATCTAACTCAACACTCCTGCAAATCTATCTCGTGTTAAACGCTTTTTTTTTAAACATTAGCTTAAACATTTCCGCCGACTGTACAATTATTCTGCTATTACTTCTCATTAAATTGCATTGTTAGTGTTGGAGGTTTGCGTCACGATGAGATCGGTGGTGTGTATCACACGAGGTGACCAGAGTAACGCGACGGACCTTGAAGAACATGAAGCATAAGTTATAGCAGCATTCGTGGACTCGGGATACATTCGCGTCGGAGTGTACGTACCTCAAGCACGACAGTGGCATCGTGTTGACCCGATAACACAGTATCAGGGCCAGAAGGATGCTCCAGGTGCGCAGTGGGCACAGTACTGTAGCTAGTGTGCCGTACGCCAGCCAGAAGAAATAGGCCATCGCGGTTTGCATCGCGATTAACAGCGCGAACGGCAAATGTCGCCAGACCAGTCGCAATTTCGACAACGGCTGCCTCACCGAATTCTCGACATCCTGCAGCCTGAAACAGCGATTGAAATTAGCACGCTTTCATTTTGCCGTTCGAGTACTTTTTTTAAATGCGTGCTACGTGTTATTGCACGATATCACGCACCTACGATCGACTTGATGCGCCAAGATCAGCATGAGCGGCAGGTGGAAGGAAAATAATTGGAAGAATCCGTAAGCGTAGGTGAAAGCGCCCGGTAGATACGCATTCCCGACGAACGTGCCCCACGCGAAGATTACGCCTATGTGATCCTCAATTACCTCCCCCACTGTCCAGGGGCCTTAAACAATCGACAATGTATCAAGTTAAAGGAAAAATGAGTTTGCAACAACTTGAGGATCGGCTCAAGCATGGAGGATAGATCCACCCCGTACGATTGGCTGAAAATATCCAGCACGTGCGTTACACGCTGAACAGTTTCATCCTCCCTTAAATAATATTAATATACTAACAATATTAATGCTCTAGTAACATTGTAATATCTAGGCTTTGTTCATAAAAGCCCGGTAAAATTCTTCGTTTGGTCAGACCAAGAAGGACCAAGAAGGACCAGTCTTTCTTAAGCCTTTGCGGTATGGTGGAATTCCCACCTGAGAGTCCCATCTTTCCCTCCAGCTCAGTTTTTAATTATTTTGACGAATTTCTTGACTTTAAGGTTTTTTTGGTTTTCGTCAAGTCTCTAGTGCGTAAACAAGTATAAAAAAAAAAATAGATAATTGTAAATTTTTATTTGCATAATTGCCGTGAACAGTCAACATTTTTATGGAAAAATGTCGTTTTCTATTAAACTATTATCAATATTGAAACGGCAATTCAGGTACTACTTATTTAGGACACACTAAAGTATTTTTCAGAATTTTTTCAGATTTTTACGCTTATGTTGTTTTTTTTATTATATATGAACAATCTCGGAAAAATATGGAAAAATCAATATTTCCTGCTGTAAATCCAAATAAATATCTCTCATAATGATGTTCTGGGAGTCACTGAATCTTGATCTGAGGTAAGAATTTTCAAATTTCTTTTAACACGTTGACTGCCAACTATGAGATATCTCGTAGGTTGTTTACTTGCCCAGGACGCCAACTACGAGTTATCTCGTCGCTTCATTATTTGATTAAATCAAATAGGCTTCTTAGACCAGAATCGTGAAAAGTTCCGCGGCAGTCAACGTGTTAAATAATTTATAAATTATTGGACAGCCACATTAGATCAAACACTTAAAATTTTAAAATTCTGACTTCTGATTCGTAATCGGCGATTCGAAAAATCTCTGGGTATCAAGTTCCGAAAAAGTCAGTCTAATATAAAAATTCGTGATACAAAGAGTTAATATTTCATAAATTAATATTTCATATATTAGTATATTCCTGAGGATCTCAAAGAAAGAAAAGGCTAAAGGATTCGTTTCTTCAGGCTCGAATTGCACAAATTTCGGAATTTGTAAACATTTATGAACGACGTGCACACGAATTAATATTAATTGATGTGATTAATTAACGTTTGAGAGAAGAGGAAGTTTACACAAGTGTTTCTTGTAATGCACTGGAACACTCACCGACAGCCAGATACAAGGAGTACAGCACCAACGGGAAGAATAATCTATCGATAGTGGACAGTATCCACAGTTTCCTCAGCCACCAATGAAAGAATCTGATGGGCAGCCGCGGCCGATGAATATACTTATCTGCGTCAAGAGGAACCTTAGTATACGCTCGTCAGTCGAGTTTTGCGATGAGAGATAAGATTCGTAAAAACTATATTTACTTTCGCAGAGTATATGAAGAAAGCGGAGTAAGCACAGCGGCGCTACTAGCAATGCCAATACAGTGCAGAATAGGAACTGAAACTATGTGAAACGGTGACGTTAAATTATTAACACGCACGTCACTGTACATGGAAATGTAATTGCAATCGTGACGGCCCGCGTTGACTCACAATGTGACTGACGTCGAACATGAGCACCAATCGGGGCAAAATGCGGAACGACAGCCGCGAACCATCGAGAGAAAACGGTTGCGACACGATTTTCTCTCTGTCTTCCTCGTCGACCACGCGTACCTGAAGTATCACAATTCAATACTCGTTTGTATGACGCAAACTCTACTGTTGAATTAACATCGATAAGCAATCGGGACGTTTTACTAAACTGTAATGTGATGAATACCGTTCCTGTACATCGTCGTGTTCCACGGTAACACGTAAAGAGGTCCCTTCACATGATCGCACACTTGCCAGACACCGTTGCCCAATTGGATCTCAACAGTCTTCAAAGGAGCTGTCGAAAACGCCAGCACTCTGCAATAAGCACGTCATCACTTTATGGGCGTGTCTCACAAGGGAGACGAAGGTTGAGTTAGAAAAGTGTGCTTACCTGATGTGCGTGGACGCGATAATGGATTTCAAATTCTCCCTTCGCGGCATCATGTACAACGCGTGTTTCGGATTGGTGATTAATGCTACAGGCCAGTCATTATGCTTTACATCAATGAATGAGAATTGGCCATGATCTACTGCTGCGAGGCGGTACCTAGTAATAAGCGTGTATCAAGTAGGCCTACTAACATTTGGAAACTGAATAAGAAAGAAGTCGAAGCGCGGAGTAAGCGTAGTTACATCCTAAAAATCCTACATATCTCGACAGCGAAGGAACACTCGGCGTGACCGGATGATCAAGCGAAGCGATTCGTATTAATATTCCAAACGATAGTTAATTTCCATGTAAATAAATTATCAAAATACATTGTGTATACGTAATTGTGATCGGTATCTATCCATACAAACTGTCTATTTCGGGAAATAGAAGACCAGCGAAAATGAAGTCTCAGGCATGTGCAATTTTCTCTCTCTCTCTTGAAAGTATGAAAGTACATTTGTCTTACATTCTATTGTCTTTCCAATCTGCCAGTTCCAGCTCAAGGAAGCCCGCCTGTTGCAACGTGTACATGTTGGGTACCATACCACCCAGTGTGTGGTAATGGCCGCACAGATACACCATACTTTCTTTGTGTCTGCCTTTAAATACACGAGTTCAGCAGGATTACTTATATACTTACTTGATTGATTCTTATAATTAAATACGACACGGGTGTATCATATTAATCGTTTTACCTAGAATATTTCTGATACCGATATCAGATTGTGACAATATGCATGACGTGGGATAATGACCAAACCAGATTATATAATCCGCACTGATATCCCTGGACTGATTGACCAATTGTTGTATCTTACTGATCTCGCGTTGATCCAGAACACCCACGAAATTAAACGGTCTCTTGGGGCCTGGCTTCAAGCAAGCATCAATCGCGATGAAGGAGTACGTTTCAGAACCAACGACAACATTGTATATGTAAGATCTGGGATGCTTCTTCCCCTGAACGGAGTAATTGGAGTAATAATTGTTCTTGGAGTTAAGACTGACCACGTTAAAGTTATCTGAAAGCACATCGATAATTCCATAATGTAACTTTCTCACTGAGTGTCATCCTATGTGAATTCACACAGTCATTTTCGCTCACCATGGTTTCCCCTAACATCCAACCACAATGTTCTCTCCTTGATATTGGTCTCGTCTATCACATATTTATAATACTGCCATTCTGCAAGTATCTGCTTGGAGCCCATCTTATCTTTAGCTTTGGCATCAGTCAAGTCTCCTGTTAAGACACCGAATAAAACACTTAGAGTATTTTTTAACATACCAACCAGCTTGATACGAGATAAAATATATATTACCTGAAGCAAGGACAATCACAGGCTTAATCGCATTTACCGTCACATTGCAGAATTTCTTCAGTTCCGATATCCTAGACGAATCTTGAAAGATACTTATATGTATGTCAGATATCTAAAGGTGTAAAAAACTGTTATAATATATCACTTTGATACAATAGGAGTCACAGTGCACTGTCAATCATCTGAAGAAACATATCATCGACAAACCTGTAGAAACCACATCAAGTGGTCATACGACTTTCCTATGTCGTAATATTTTGGTCTGGACCGGTAAGTCTCCTCATTCGACTCTTGTAAGGATTCGTCCTGCAGATGAGAGTCGACATTGATAAGATCAGCTACATTCGCCACAAAGATGGACAGCATCAGCACGAAGACCAGGAGGACAACGGTGGATTTTGTTATTTTCATATTCGCTACCGCAGGTTTACGGCGTTCTGAGACGGCAACGAGCAACCGACTTTTACCGGGATATTCGGAGAAGACCTGCACCTTAGTCGCGGCCACCCGCTCCGAGCCCGGTACGTGCGCCGTCGATTCACATGGAAGTCGGTGACCCCCCCGGTGACGTGCAACGTCTCCGTCCGGGAGCGAGAGAGCTGGGGAAGACTCGATCGACTTTACAGGCTCACCTCAGAATCATATCTTTCGCGTTTGCCGTACGGCAAACGACGGACACGCATCGGTGATGTTACAACGCCTTCCGATTCCCCGGGTGTTGTTCTATGTATGTCTACCGACAGCTATCGGATCGGTATGTCATGTGTCGTTGCGCAGCCTTTTCGCCATGTGTCATGCCTGCGCAACGATACATTCCCTAGTCGGCAGTTATGTTGTGTAGTAATAAACTAGAATTGGGCGTATGAGAGCATGATTGGTCAATTTTATATTCTTACTTTTTATGAACGTACTTCTACCGTTCATTGTAAACTATGCTTATGACTATGGACTATGAACCTGATGATGATGGAGACGAGCTTTAAAGTCGTTCATAACCATAGTTGAGAAATAGAACTGAGAAAGTAAGCCTTTTGTAGATTGAAAATAATTTCCATCGGTGTCTTTGTTATTTGAAAATTATTTCCATCCGATGTCATTGTCACTTCGGACATAATAATTTTGTGACAAATAATAAACCGTCGGGAAATTGATATAACGTCTAACTCTGAATGATTTCGAGTTTTATTTACATATATTTACGTGTACAATAGGGTTAGAATTAGAAAAAATTAATATGAATATTACACGTGGTGTGCGATATCTATCCAAATATCTATATCGCGGGATCCAGCGTTCTTTACATAATGGTAATTATTGTAAAAGTGATTAAGAAATACGTATGTCAAATAAAAAGATTACAGGGCTCAATGTATCTTATTCGTGAGCCTACTCTGTCAATTCAAAATTTATAAAAAATTATATAAACGATAAAGAAATGTATATTAAATACAAAAAACATTATCAGGTTTGATGTATTTTATACCTCATTTTATGTGCTTATGAATTTTGTGTAAATTAATCGAGATTTATGAAATACTTTAAGGATATTTATGTTTTTGATGTAGATTATAAAATGACTTCGTCGGCATTAGTAACAGCAAATGATTATGGAGATGATAAATACATGGTCTGGCTTGATATGGAGGTATATAATTATTATGAATTGTCTAATGGTATAACAACAGAAAAAAAGTTGCAAAGGATATCTTTCAGATGACAGGACTGGATGTAGAGAATAGTCACATTTTAGAGATTGCTTGTTTAATAACTGATGAAAAACTAACATCAGCAGATGATTACTTGAGTATAATAATACATCAACCAAACGAGGTTTTAGAAAACATGACAGACTGGTGCAAAGTACAACATAAAAAAGTAAATATATTTTTTAATAATGTATATATATATATATATATGTGTGTGTGTATGTGTGTATGTGTGTGTGTGTGTAATTGGATGTTATTAAATTGATTAAAATTTTAATTTTAGACAGGATTAATTGCTGCTTGTCAATCAAGTAACATTACGTTGAAGGAAGCTGAGGTAATGACGTTAAAATATCTTAAAAATAATATTCCCAGTAAAGTATGTCCGTTAGCAGGAAATTCGGTCCATATAGATCGTATGTTTCTAAGGAAATATATGCCATTAGTCGACGATTATTTACACTACAGAATCATCGACGTCAGCACAATCAGGGAATTAGCTAGGTACACGGACTAATTATTTATATTGCGATACTTCTATATCATTGTAAGTTCTTCGTGAAGTAATTTGTCAAAACCAGAATATTCAAATATATATAAACTGGTTATTTCAGGAGATGGCATCCGAGTGTGTATAGAGCGGCTCCAAAAAAAAATTATAGTCACAGAGCGGTGCATGATGTAAAGGATAGTATAAATGAACTCTATTATTATAAGGAACATTGTTTTTATCGTAATAACAAAGATTCATAATAAAATCTGATAAAACACTTGAAATATGTTTTTATTGGAAGATTCGAGTTTTATACTGTCATTTTGAAGAAAGAGAATGCGAGAAGTTTCGCTTGTAATTTGCTGAAAAAAGAATAAAGAAGATTTAAATATCAACAAATTGCAAATGAAAGAAAAAAAGGTTTAACAATTTGTGAAATACTCAATTAGCGAAGCAGAGTACAAGCTTTTTTTATTTCTCCCTCCTGATGTACGCTTCACTATCGACAATCGGTAAGTGCGATTCCACCGTATATTATTATCTACAACGAAGTGGCACGGAAGTTCCGAGCACTCCAGAGAAACTCATGTGGGTCAGTGGGGTGTCAGTGAACAGTGCGAGCGGTATGTGCAGCGGGTGTGAATAACGAGCGGTGGTGGGGCGGACGACGGTGAAGAAGTAGTCGAGAATCACAATCGGGATACTGGTCGAGGGAACCGATTGCAGCTAATTGTTGTGATAAGGTGATGGCGAGTAGCGACGGTGCTGTTAGTGATGATTGTGACAGTGGCCGTCGACTAGCTTTTTTAACGAATGGCTCTGTCCAAGGTGTATAATCAGGCATCCGCGATTCTTGGCGACAATGCTTTCGCCGTCGTTAGCAAGGTAAGAAAGCGTTCCTTCTCTCTCTCTCTCTCTCTCTCTCAAATCAGCTCGAGAGACAACGAAGCTTTCTCTCGGCTGGCATTTCGTTAAATATTACATCAAAGTAGTATCGGGTTCCTGCTCACTCAGCTGCACCATCTTACACTCGCTGCACCGCGGATGGCAAAGAGTACAGTGGGTTGAAAAAGTAGTTAAACACACATACATATACATCCATCCCTCGTCCTACTAGGATCGCTTTTTACCGGGAAGGAATATTGCGACCGGGTGTTTTCACCTGTAAAAATATCATTTTCATACGCGGCGCATCGGGGAGAAGAATTTCTTCACTCAACGACGTATTTCTCCCTCGCGTAGAACCGTCCCGAAAAAATGGGGGCGGCTGTGCGGGTGGTCTTTTCACCCGGCGTGTACATACTCGGAAGAGAAAGAGTGCGGGGAAGTGCAGAAAGTGCGGGCAAACGGAGAACTAAGCCGTAATAAGCCCGAGGAAGATGGGAGAAGGGTGCGATCCGCGTTTGTTTGAAGTCGCGCTAGCGAGCGAGTGAACGCGAGCGAGATCATGCTTCGTGCATTTCTCGCATACCTCCGCGAAAATGCAAATAGTGACGGTATTACATCTGCGCTTGTTTCCTCGCCTTCGTCCCGGCCGACGAGTGCAAGTGTATTCGAGTATATCGGACTTTGTGCGCCCTGGATGGGCACCGTGATCGTAACAACGCGATAGCTTCGACCTCTCTAGCTCCGTTCGATTCGTCATTTCATCCCGTCGGCGTCGCATGTCGCATTTTTCGCGTCGCCTGATACCTTCGTGCGACCAATCGACCGACCGCTCGTGTCGTTCGAAAACAATCGACAGATCCCACGCTATATGCTACTTTATAAGGCCTCAACGCACCGCCAATGATAATTGTCGCTAAATAAACTACATTCGACGTGTTTCAACCTTCTCTCTCGGCGCCGACAATCGTGATATTTAACGGAGATTCCGTCGATCGTAAACTGTCCCGGTTACACGTAAACTAGTCTAAGTTATATTAAATGCATTGTTGTGTTTCATGGTTTGCGACACCGAAGTTGTGAAATTTCATGTCCACGATTGTTCTCTGTGCAGAATAACGAGATCGAACACAGTGTCAATATGTTGGATGTACCGCGGAAGATATACTCAAGGGACTTGCATGGTTCGGAGTACAATCATTGGAGCTACGACTTAACGGGTTGCGGCGCAAAGAGAAATGTAAGTGATATGGTTTCTTTTCATGGGCTTTGCTCTAATTTCACAATGTAATAGCGTGCAATGATAGGTCCTCGGCAGAATGGTTGCCTTATTGGTTTAAGACTTAGTGTTTCATGCCTCAAGTCTTTGGCCTGTATTCTGAACTCTCTTTTATCAATAAAAGTACCTTAAATGTGGCTTCTTAGCCCATCAGGTGATACTTAAGCCACTTTTGGAGATACTTTTATCAATAAAAGACAACAATTCAGAATACAGGCATTTGCTTTTAAATAACACACAATGACTGTCTCGTGTTTTGAGTTGTAAACTGAAAAAACTGTTCTGTTTGCGATTGACGACAAACTGTTGTATAATAAAAAAAAAGCAAACAAATGAAAATTTAGATAAGGATTTAGGGCGTGAAACATTGTCTTCAAATTATAAATAAGCCGTTCTACCGAGGCCCTTACCGCTGCTGTAACAATAGTCAGTACTGTCGAACTCTCAAGATACTGAAATCTGTTTATTTAGATGAATCTCGAGGACGAGGATTTAAACAATCCCATGGTTAATGACCTGGTATCAAAGATTCTCGACGAAGATTCCATCAGCTTTGATACTTTTCGCAATAGCTATAACGGTGGAAACACGCATTACCAAACCGCTGAGTTTGCTAATTCCTACCCTAATCAAATCGGAGAGAGTCTGGACAGTTACCTGACTGATGTTGTAGATCACTTGGAAGGTCGTTATCCGAACAGCGGCAAATTAACGAACAACACCTATAACAACGTCAAGAGCGAGTCGTACCATCATCGTACGAACAATCTTTGCAACGACTTCAACATATTGAGCCTGAACGCGCGCGTGGGACAGCCGACGGAACAGAACAATGCCTGCGGCAATGAACTTCCGTCGAACGCCGCGTACTCACCCGACACGCGGGCGCACGTTGTGCATGCGAACGATGGGAGCATGTACACGAACGGAGGCAACATGTCGTCGCTGTGTAACGACCTGCTGACGACCACGACGTCAAGTGAGGTGAATTACGGCAAACAGTCCGGTAGCTGGTCGGAGTCTTTGCTGACGCCCTCGATGGGTTGCAGCAGGAGCGAGTTAATGGGGAATTACTCGAGAATCCCGAGCTGCGTAAAACCGGATCTTAATTTCAACGTGGCGCTAACTCTCGCCCTAGACTCGCCGAACTCGACGGTTCCTATGAACGAGCTGGAGTATCACAGCAGTATGAGGCAAGGCTGCGTGCCGTCGAGCTCGTACGGCAGCCAGCCTATGGTGGGTATGCACGACATGTACAGCGGCGGCAACACCGGCCAGAGTCTCGGGTACAGGCCGAACTCGGCGATGACTGAACTAAACGCCGAATCCGTTTTCCTGTCGACCTCGCCGTTGCAACACTTCTCGCCCGCCGACACTACGGCTTTGCACACCTGTTTTGGAAGCAGTATACAACGCAACGACATCGGCGACTTCGCTAAGGACGCCCACGACACCGCTAGATTAAATATGACGAGTATTAGCAGCATACCGAACGAACAGGCGATTCAGTTCTTGCAGCCGCAAGCTCGTAGTAGCTACAAATTGGATCAAGCTGTGGACCAAGATTACAAAACCTTAATCGATTACTATCCCCCTGGTACAAATAATTTTATCGCATCCTCGGCTAATAACCTAGACACCAACGAGAACGTCTGCCTCCCTAGTGACTGTAGGATCGATAATAATTTACTGAAGATGATCAGCCCGAAATCAAAGTCTGTCGAAGCTAAAACGTACTCACCGATAGGATTCCCGAAGAACCTAAGCTCGCGTAATTTGTATCAGCCCATGGCTAAATACGGCTGTCACAGTTATCAACAATACACTGCCAGCAGTGGCGGCGGCGACACTCTCAAGATCTTGCCACAGAATTCGGCGTTTTACCACAACGATTTGCAGAAGCAGCCTAAGCTAAACTCGTACAAACTGGACGGTTTCGATCTTACTAAAGAAATGGCCTTCCCCTCGGCGAGTCATCTAGCCGACCGTATCGCAGGATCTACACTGGACAAGGACGCGGCAGCCTTCGGTCACATCATGAAGCAACATCATATATCGAAGATGCAGAACATCCCCGCCGGGATCCCGCCGCCGGATATCATTTTCAACTCGAGAATGATCTCGGGCGCGAACACCGTCAGATCGGGAGCGTTCCCGTCGGTGATGCCGGTCCCCGTCCCTGTCCCGCTTCATCCCGTGCCACGGCTATTCTCCACGCTTTACGGAGGGAGTCTGAGTTTTCGAAACAGTGCCAGTGGCGCAGCCAGGAAGACCGGTCCCTCGAGTATACTGCATTTCAACCTCGAGCAAACGTACGAGCAGTTCAAACAACTGGAGAAGGAACGCAAGAAGTGCGAGGCCGGATTGGCCGCTCACTTCCCGGGGAAACGAGTGACCAGTGCTAATAACATACCCATCCCACGTCCTCAAGGAAATCCGTCGAGAGTGGATCGCTTGGTAATCGATTATTTGAGAGAGCACGCTCGTGTCATTACATTGATAGCGAAGGTGAATAAACAATAGTACCTGCGAAAATACGCTCTTAAGGGCATCCTGGAGCCGTCCTGTTTTAGCGTAAATTTCTTAGTACCATATTCGTCACCGAACTGAACTACAGAACTTAAAAATCCTTTTGCGCAATTACAATACACAGATTAGTGTAAGTGAAGACGGTTGTCTTTGCTCGAAACCCGAAAAAAAAAAGTTATATATTTTGTTAATTTTTTTTTTCGTATTTTTGTAGTTCAGTTCAGCCACTAACAAATATAGTACTAAGAAATTTGCGCTAAAACAGGGTGACTCTAGAATCTCCTTAAAGCCCATCCAGACAAACTTGCATGATCACATAATACATATGCAGAAGAAAATCGACCAATCATGTGTCTAGTATAGAAGATATCTTTTTTCTTTGCACGGATTATGATTGGTTTTATTTCCTCATACACATGCGATAATGCAAGTTTATCTGGATAGGTCTATACCTGTAAATTATGTAAACATTTTTATCTGTATTATGTAAAAATTTCTATCTTCTATTCCATTACATTTGTGATTTGTTATGTACACGGCCGGCGGAACGAACTGCTCACCGCTCTCGGAGAAAGAGTTTTATGTAAAGAATTTGTTTCTTGTATATTTCTTTTTATTTCTGTTTAATCGTCCTCTTTTTTTCTATTATATTTCATTTTTCTTTTCTTTTTTTCTTTTTTTTTTTTTTAAGCTTTTTTCCCGCACAGTTGTACCATGATGCGACCGCATCCTGTATATGATTTGCCTATGCATACTTGTGCAACTTTTCACTTTGTTGAACAGATGGAACGCTTACGCGGAACCACGATGAATCAACGTGTGCACAAAGCCATGGAACATTGGCTGGAGGCTATCAAGTTCGTTCAAGATTGTCGCAAGCAGGAGATCGCAAATGCTATCAAACGTCAGAAAGAGAATCCACATTGCATTTTAGCGTATGACGACAATGGTGAGTGTCATTGTGAATTTGTGCAAATTATTAGTAATTCCGCAGTGCAGCCGTTTTAGTGCAACTCTTAAGCTTGATCTCGTTTATCGCAGCGCTACTACTACAGCATTATTCAGTCACTCGAGTCACCTTTTGTTATGTTTTTTCTTCACAAGTCATTAAGAAATTTACTTTCGTCCAAAACGGGTCGCTGTAGTCACTTCTTTCCCTGGGCGGTGGAATTTGTAAAATATAGATGTTTCATATATGTTTTTACTATCTTTCTTAGTGAAGCTGCTCTGAATGCGTATTTGTACATACTCTTGGTCTTTGTTACGAAACTCTCCAAACTGTACTATGAAAAGAACTCGCTATATATTAAGTTATCCAAGGATAAACCTGAAAAGATAAGAGTAAAAGCGTTATTTTTTTTTTGCTAAAATAGCCTTAGTTACTTTCAGAATTCGACAAGAAATGTCACTTTTGATAACTGTTTTGACGTCTGAGAGGTCATTTTTCGTGACCTTTTCTGCCAAGAAGCAGTTACTATTTCACTTTTTTTCTAACGTATCTGCGTGTGTCTAGATATCTTGACTTTGGCTGGAAGCGTGCACGCACTGACGAAGGCGTCACGATACGCGCGGACCGGTATGTACAATGCGCTCCAGGCCACGCTGCTGTATGACTTGGACGTGGAGAAGAAGGTCGTCGAGACTTCCAAGGATCCGGTACTCGAGGCGAAGCACAGCGAAAGTCAACTGAAAGACGGAATCAACGATTATTCAAGCAATACCTAGCAAAATTGCGCCGAGTCCACTTGGTATCGCTCATCTTGAAGCGCTAAAGAGAGAGGCGAGTCCAGCAGCTTTTTACTCACGTATAGTATTACGTTTATGAAAAGCGTTCGCTGGTATTTACGTGATTATTTTACCATTGAAACGAAATGCCGCCCATTAAATTCAAAACTTTCACTCGCGACACGCGAGGAGAATCGCTACGCGCGAAAAAAAAGAACTACGCACACGAAACACACACACACACACACACATACATACATCCATACAAGAAAGAACTAAAGCGTAAAAACTCGGAAACGTGGAATGTGCGCAACTTTTTACAGGTTATTAATAATTCCATAGTTTTCTACCGTACGTATTTTAACGCTTATCGGCGGTGTAACCGATTTAGCTTTTCGAAAAACACCGATTTAGATGCGAGAGTTTCGCTAGACTGCCCATCGTTTATCTCCGTCGCGTATGTCCAAAAAAAAGAAGAAGAAAGAAACCGCCTTTTCTTTGGCACTTGTTTGGGGGTAAACCAGGAGCGATGTCGATCGTGCTTAAATCGGTGAACAATCGCTAGCTTTGAAGTCGTCGACTCATTAACTCGCAACAAGAACGAGATTGCTCAGATGGTATTACATCCTTTTAGAGGTATCGTTCTTCGTACGATTATTCGTTTGTACACGTATCTTAAGTTTAAACGAGATAGGTAGGCAAAATACTAAGCCGATGTACTCGTTCAAAATGTTCGGCGGTAACTCGTTAGATTAGCTCAATGTGGCCTTCCTTGAATGTGTGACCCATTATGTGGTAGTAGATGTCTCAGAACTTGAATATTTCGTGGAGTATAAGTGCCATGCCAATTAAGTCGCATGCAACGCGAGCTTTACATTTACATGTATATATATATATGTATATATATATTGAAATGTTGATGGCAGGGGAAAGAAGAGAGCGCACTGAAACACTAGGACGTATTTGATGATTGATCTAGATACCTCGCACCGGTGTTAAGTTCTCAGCGTTTCTCGTGTCCCTCAAGACCACAGGGATATCGTCGGTCTCGATGAACGCCGATGAATTAACGCCGACGCACACGGCCGAACCTTGTGCGTGTCATCGTGCACGATATTTCGAAGCTTTCTCAAATGTATCTCGGTGTCCAAGTGCGCCCCGTTTTCTCCCGCTAGATCTTTCGTTACCGACATTGTTCCGGATGTACTCTTACGAATACAAAAAATACATACATAACACGCACATACGCGAAGTATGACTGCATTACATCGACAGATACGCGCACAATGACATTAAAGCCACACTCATATGCATACATGCACACGTAATGTTAATTTACACGTTGGCCTTTCCCGCAACGTGTTTTCGTGTATTCGCAACGGACGTTAAGCAACGATGAAAAGTTTGTATCATTTAATTTTTAATCGAATGACGAGATAATTGGAAGCACGCGTGAAGTCACGCGTCGTGCTACTTTCTCTCTCGCGATTTTTTTTTCTTTTTTACCCATGCAATCTCATTGTGTATTTGCCAAAAATTAAAGAATTTGTTTTTTTTTTGTTTCTCACGCATTGTCTTGAGTCTAGATTTTTAAACGAATGACTGAAACTTCGTTCTTTCATAACTTGATAATGTATAATCCTTAACCTTTGAGAAGAAGGAATTTGTCGAAAACTATTTCGAGACCGAATGAGAGCTTCAATTATATCCCATCGTGAATCCGGCTTTTCTTCTGTTTTTAGATAACGACACAATTTTATAATGCACGATCATTCGATTGTCATTTATTTCTCTCTTTCACGGGAAGGACACAAAATGTGTTGCAAACACATTATTATTATCATAATGCCGTATCCTTAAAATTGAAAACACAGCATAGATATGTGTTTGACAATCCTGTTTAAATTGCATGTGATATGTATTCAATACTTAAATGTACACACACATACACACACAAACACGCACACACATATCAATATATTGAAACTAGGATAACCAAGTACTGTGACTACGAAGTCGGGACGGAATCACGATGTGCGATTCTAGCATGACTGAGATTCAGCGAGGCAAGCATTGAAGGATGCGGGACAAGAGTGGAGTAAGTCTTTGGTACTTGGTTAACCCCAAGTTAACGGGGGTTGAATTTCAGATATACCTCACTACTTGAATGGACTTACGAAACTCTTGCTGCCATCACTAAACATACGAACATAGAAGTGTGACCAAAACGTATCCTCTCCCGTACTTCGGAGCCATTAGACTTACATTGGTTATTCCCGTTCTAAGTAGCAGATACGGTATATGTATGTACGGCTGTCTTTGACAAACGGCATTCTCACGTCTCGCGATTTGCAATTATCCCATGGGGAATCGTGTTCGAAGAATCTCAATTCTCGAAGGCTATCAGCGGTCAGCTCTTTAAGGGCCCATTATTTCAACGTCATACATCCGACTTTATAGATCATAAATCGACCAATCGTCTATTTGCAGATGTTTGCCGCAACTAAGAGTGACAATTGAAGAGCTTATTTCCGTCTTAGAACAATANGGGGGGGGGGGGGAGAGAATAAAAATTACGTGCTTTTACGAGCTTATCATGCGTCACTGGCGAAAGAAGGTGCCGTTCGTTAAGAACATGCCGCGCATCGTATGTGTTTGTGTATGTATGTATGTATGTACATATGTGCGCGTCGCGCAGCTGAGCCGTATTTAGATATTAAGTGCGCCGCGCGTGCGACATATATATGTAAATAGGAGAAGCAGCGTGTGTCGCGACACACATGCGGCCGAAAATATGGAAGCAACTGACCAATGTTCGAAGCGCGAGACTCATGAACTATCATATTACCGTGTTACATGTACTATAAAGAGAAACTTAAGGCGAAGCTTTCATCTCCCTGCGAGCGGATGCTCGCAGTAACGAATTTTGGATACACGTTATCGAAATTCTCTCTCTTTCTCTCTCTCTCTCTTTCTCTCTCACTCATCGTAGCGGTCTCGCGAATCCTCCGTCATGATAGATGTGAAAGTATTTCTGAGCCGCTTGCGAAGGGCTAGCGTATTTAGTCGATGGTGGTGTTTATAATCGCGAACGACACACGTTCATGTCGACTGCTGTCGTCGCTGTTGCAATGCATAGTACGATTCGCGTGTATGTGTGTATGTGTGTGTGAGAGTTACTTTTCTAATTGTTCATTTTCTCAACGTCTTGCTCGGAAGACTCAAGCTAGACCGCCGTTCGCGCGAAGACTCGCGTCAGCTCGTAATTCTCGTTCGCGAGCTGCGTGCGAACGCACTATTAATCGCGCGACCGCGTCTGGTCGCAGCTTTCGACAGTCACAAAGTGACAGGAGCTTTCGTGAACGATCAGTATTTATACTGATTATTATATTGAATACTGAGATCTGTTGACTAATATTTAACAAGAAATTTTAACGACTTTGTTATCTCTCGTCATTTCTTCTTATTGAATTAGTTTTTTCTTTCTCTATATCTCTCTCTCTCTCTCTCTGTCTTTTTATTATTATTATTGAATTAATTGAGCCTAAGTTCGGTTTTTCCGCGCACGCGTCGTACGTGACTTCTCGTATAATTAATTTACGCGATTACGTTTAGTGTTCTTATTCGCGTTGTATTGTTCCTAAATGATACGAAGGTGTTTTATGTGTTGTACACACGACTAGTCGGGCGTACCGCGTAGCACCGAGGTCCCCGCCGGCTACCTCGGCGGTCTGTGCCGTGTTTTTTCGTTCTTCCTAGTAGCTAGATAACGCACCACTGCTTGAACTTGCCTAATTAACGTGAATTAAGTCCGGACACGGCCGGATGGCCGAAGCCGCGGGGCCTCGTTCTACGCGCTCACTACGAATTTATCGTATCATATGTTTTAGTGCGTAGACGCGCGCCGTTTATTATTATGCGTATAGATTCACGCTCTATCCATCTCGCCTAACATAATTCCCGACTGCTGCTCTCGAATCTCTCGCACCGACGACACCACAACACCGTACCTTGAATATTTAATAATAGTTAAATAATAGAGATCAGCGTGTAAATATCTAAAGAAGCTTTCGTTCCGTCGAGCCAACAGGAATAAATAGCGCCGTGCCGAGATGACGATTTCGGTTGTTGATCTGTGCGCACGCCAGGCTGAGCATCGTGCGCCGACCATGCACGTGTTATAATCTTATATATATTCGGCGTAGAGGACGAATGTAAGATATTAGGCGGGTGAAGTACTGCTAGCGCGTTAGCTGCGAGACGAAAGTCGGGGTGATGATATCAAAGATGTACACAGTATGTGTCATATTTTGCTCGCATCATTTTTCAATGGGGGGGAGGGGGGTCGTCTTTGGCTAATTTAAAGTCGAATTGACAAGGCCGATCATTATTCATCGCGCGTTTGCCTCATTTTGAATTCTCAAAATTGTATATATTTGCAATTAAATCCCAAAACGAAGAAAAAAATACAATTTGGTCGTTCGTCTCCTCTTCCGAAGAGAGTCGTAGTTTGTCAGGGGAAATCTCTCTCCGTTTCTGTCAATAATTAATTGTATATTGATTCGAAGGTCCTTGGTATACTTTCTTCTGGAAAAATAAAAAGGAAATTTTCTCCAAACCGCGCGAGGAATCCGTTATCGAAAAATAATGCGGTATGCATAAAGAAAAGTGTGGGGGGGGGGCATAATATATAAACGAAAAACTTACACAACACACATACACACATGTGTCGATATACTATAGATTTATGTATGCGTGTTATTAGGAATCATTCCCGCGCTTTAATAGTAAAGGAAACACAAGTCCATTGGCCTGTACGTCGCGCGCGACTCTGCGCGATCGCTGACCGAATATGTAGGAGAATATATCGAGAGCTTCTTAGATAAGCTAGGGGTTGATATGTGGATCTCTCTCTCTCTCTCTCTCTCACACACTCACTCACTCACTCACTCACTCACTCACTCACTCACTTTTTCTCTCAGTAAGCTTTACTTGAAGAGGGAAAAACCGAGGTCTAATCGTAGAATTAAAACTGGCGTCTGAGCTCCGTGATCACGCGCGGTCGACGACCGCGCGCGCATATTTTTCCGATTGTGTCGGAAATCGCGTATAAACCGAATGAAGTAGCGCGCAGTAGATGGAACGTAGCGTAGAATTTTGCGAGAAATTCGCGATTGCAAACCAGTCGCGTTCATTATCGGCCCTATATATAGATACGATTGCGAAGTAGCGCGCGAATAAGCTCAGGTCACGAAAAGCTTCCTGACTCGGTTGAGCGGCGTTAGGGACGATTGTAAACCGCGGGAATTACGAAAAATTACGTCACGCCACTTCCCTGCCACGAGCGACTCCTTCCGTCGTGTTGTTCGTTGTTACCTCTCTCGTTTGTGACGTTGTGCCGGCCCGGGGCTCGGGGCCGCCGATTTCGTCGAGCGACTCCGATAGTAGAATTTGTCGCGTGCGACGATCACTGTCGCGTGAAATGTCACTTATGCTCGAACGAACGAGACGTTCCGCGCGACGACGATCCTTTCTTCGCTCGTCCACGTCGCCGGTTACGTTGCTGGCTTCGATCCCCGGCCCGGCGAAATCACCAGGGTCGATAATTAAGCAACTTAGCGTAATTGCCACGTGATACGCGCGACGCGAAAACGTTCGATTCTCGCTCGGCCGTCTACGAGGAACACGATGCTGTCTTGCCGGCCGATTTATTACTCGCAACACATCGCCGCTTATTTTACACGACGTACCACTGTACATAGTTAGGCAGGTGATAGGAGGCGTGCCTGCGCGAAGGGAGAAGCGAAAAAAAAAGAGGAAAGAAAGAAGGAAGCGGAGAAGAATAACGCAAAGAAGTGAGACTCGTGTAGGCGATCGTTATAGCCGTTTGTCTTGTTAGAGACACGCACTCTTGCGACTATATATATATATATATATATATATATATATATAGTGAGCCGTTTTTATTCGCTAGAAATCTCGCGACGATGCCACTTCTACGGATTTAGTGCGTTAGGTGTCACTGTGAAAATCCTCGATTAAGCTCGCCGACGAGACGCGGTCCGCGTGCGAGAGACACCGGCCGATCGCCCCGGCGGGATTAATTTCGCAACGAGATGGGATCGCACTTCGAATCCTCCGTCCTCGCGCTTTCGCTTTCTCAATGATCCTCCTGCCCGTATCGAAGTCTCGGGTCCTCCTCTGCCCGCTCGGCTGACAACTGCGAGACCGAGGGAAACCGAAGTGACCGACAAGAGCCGACCTCTCGCAGTTGAGGCGTGTGTGCGCGGCCCCCCCCCCCACAATCGCGAGAAATCTTCGCTGATTAGTTTCCGACAAAACCTAAAATAGTGTAAGGATCCAAGGATCCACGACACCACCGCCGGGGCGATCCGGTCCTCTTTACGGAGGCGCGTCTTTCAGAGAAAGCGGACGGGGCCGTCGACTCTCTTCCGCTCGCTAGTCGCGTTAAACGAAGACAATCGCCAAGTCACATCACCTCGTTCAAGAGCGTCATGTGCGTTGCCGAGTTCGAAGGGAGAGAGCGGCGCGAACGAGGGCCGATCGGCCTGGAGTTCGTCGACGAGATCGAGCTCGGAGGTGCTCGGTTTGCGGACCATTGAAAAAAAAAAAGAAATACTGTACAACGATTACGCTACAATAATATCTAATGTACCTAGGTGAGAGAACGGGACGCGATGGGTCTCGTGCACGCAAGTTGTGCGCTTTTTTTTTTCATACATTAGTACGCATTATTACGAGACCGTGATATGTTGCGTCTCGTCATCGAGACCGATCGACCGATCGATGCGAAATTAATTTCCACGATTTCTCGCGTGTACACCTCCGGTTGGCCGGGCTCGACCAAGGGAACGGCGCACGACGAGATCCTTTGCGTATGTCCCGGATATAGTCGTAGCTGGAAATCCTCCGATAGTCGCGTAGATTGTACCAGTCGGCGTCGGAATACACTCGGAGAGGCGCGTTCTTTGTGCAACCACGGCGACCACGGAAATGCGTTTACACGGAGACGTCCGATTGACTCGCGGATTTATTCACGTGGCGGATCGAAGGCTCTCGCGGACGACGCGAACAATAGGTCTTCGGACTGTCCGACGACGCCCTTGGCTCTTGGACACTCGCGTGTTGTCTGCCCTTCGATCAAGTCATTCAAATGTTCATGTAAGATCCGGCTCGTTTCGGCGAGTACATTAATATACGTAGCGCGTGACATTTTGACGTTTCGATAACCGCCTTCGATCGACACGGAGAGAGAAATCTGCGAGACGGACGGAGGGGGGGGAGGAGATGTACATGTGTCATCCACGAGAGCGGAAGTGTCCATATCCGTTCCGACTCCGACTGTGCATATCAATGTCTTCGATGTATTTTATTAGCTGTGACGTTTAGCGCGAACTCATTAGGGCGATCCTTCATTTCGAGCGTGTTTCTCTTGAGCGTAGAACAGGATCTCAACGGGTCCCCTGCGTCATCGTACGCCGACCGGCGACACGGCCGACGATTCTCTCCGCGATTCTTCG